GCTACACGCACTACCACTACTTTAGTCTCCTCATTGCCCTGGTTTATATAATTTGTTCGTTGTGTTTTACACATGGCTACCCTACCATAATTACATGGTGTTCTCCATTGACCATGGTGATTAAGAAAGATTTGAACTTTAGAACACTAAATTGTGAGAAACTGTGGCAGAGACATCTATAACATTGAAGATGTTGTAGATTAGTCACCAGAGGCTGATGGTTTAACTGATGATTTAGAGAGGATTGTGAGCTTTCCTGTGGCACAGAGTGATGGGCCCTCAAGTCTGGGAAATGATGGTTCTCTCTGAGAAAACTGTCTTGGAAAGTCCAGAGCTTCAGGGGCATTCAGGTGAGTCAGAAGTAGCAACAGCAGATAAGGAATCGAGTGAAAAGCTGAGTGATAAGGACGGTTCCCATGGGAATCCACCTGCAGCTATGGAGATCAACAAAGGTCTTTGTTTACAAATCAGAGCCGAAAATAGATTGCATCATTCAGAGAGATTACGTGAGAAAGTTGCGAAAGAAATTCACAGGAAATTGAATAATTTCATGGGTGTCTATTAAACAACAAGTTGTTTACCTTAAGGTCAGTTCAGGCAACACTGCATCAGAGTAAGAAGCTAAGCCTGAATTCTCTTGTTCCTGGTTCAAGTCAAGCTTTGATTTTGGATTTAATGTATCCTGGAAGTTTCTGTTCATGTACTCCTGTTCAAGTCTTACTAGTTATATCTTCCAAATTGTGGACTTATGGTTTATCTGTGATTCCTGGCTGTTCCTTGACTGTGCCACCTCTGGGATTTTATGAGTTGGGTTATTATTTGGTTCTCACCTTTTGCTAAACCTTTTTGGACTATATATCTTTATTATTCTTGATTTTATATGATTTAATGTGTGTGGTTTTTTTTTACAATAAACTGTTTGCTTATATTCCTGGACTCGTGTGGTGCGTTGGTCATAGATATTTGCACGCCCGGAGTGCAACAGAAGAGCACTATTTGCAGATCTTCTTCAACAGAAATAATTCCTAGGAATTGTTTTCAAAATTACAGCTGCTGAAATCCTTATGTTACACCCAGCTAGAGTAGGCCCACTGAATCAATACGATTTATCTATGTGTTGACTCACTCATTCTACAGTTGATTTAGTGGGTCTGAAAAGGTTGTGGTTTAAGTTTCTAACAAAGTAAATCCCACATTTACCAGTTCCATCATGCACTAATCAAAATCACAGGTGTTCAAAATTGTTGTTGTCGTCGTTATTTTTTTATTATTATTCACCTTGGTACCAAAATTAATACAAGCCATCTATATTTCTTTCCCCCCAGGGTTCAAAAAGTAGCAATTGCTTCTCTCTGTAAACTGTATTATCTCCAGTTTCTATATTCTCTCCTTAATTCAGATGTGATTTGGAATTGCAATATATTTTCCAGGATAGGCCTTTGTTTTCTTTCGGAGTTGCTCCTCTCCGTTCAGTGTTCGGTTTGGCTCATTTCTCTTATAAGCTGTCTGGAAGGGGAGAAAGGCTTTCATTTCAAGCAATTCTCTTTTTCAGCCTTCCTTTTATTGAATTCCACCCTCTACTTTCCTTTTCCTTTTTTTTTTTTTTTAAAAAAATGGGGACATCATTTATCTTGGACTTTAAGTTGTGGAGGCCTTCAAGGGGCTTCTTTTTTCTTTTCCCAGCTGCATTTGTTGACACACACACACACACACACAGTCAATGTGGGCTTCCCCTTCCATTATGCCGCCTCCCCAAGAGAAAGCCATAAAGAATCTACAGCTGTGCCCTTTATTAGCATAGACTTTCTAAACCCAAGGAGGAAAAACAAGCTAAATATATTGCAAGCCATTACCTCTGTTGAAAGTGACCATTTTAAAACATTTTAGCTTTCACTGGAAAAGTAGGAACACAAAAGCCAGTGCTATAATTTTATTATAAATGCTTTTTAAATGTGAGGCATTTGGGCACCTTAGAGAAAAAGCATGGGAAGAGCTTACACGTTCAGAGCAATGTCTGTTGTTAGTTCGTTAAAAAAAATTAAGGACGCAACAAGCGGTCTTGGTCACATCCTAATTGCTAAATACAAAAAACGAACCGAGACTAAGACAAAATAAATTAATAAATTGTGGGGTTTTTTGGCCTATTTGTGTGGATTCCATCTTACATTTTATAGGCTGACTGATTAAAGTTCAGGATTACATTAGTTGTTTTGTGGAAACAGAATCCAATGGAATTCTCATTTAGAATTCTGTATAGAGTTTAGTCTTTTGAATTAGATGCAAGAAATTAATTAACATGATGTTTGCTCTCCTGAGGAGGAAAATGTGCATTACACCTTTAAAACATTGAAGATATTGCCCATGTTAGCTATGTAGCTCATAACAAGTTATTCCCTATGGGTATCTGTAGGGATATTAAGGTGCTTGTTTATAAAGCTATTGCATGCCCACCCAACACTGCTATACGCCTGCAAAACGTGGTCTGCAGATGTCACACTCAACTCCTAGAATGATTCTATCAGAGTTGCCTCCAAAAATCCTGCAAATCTCTTGGGAAGACAGGTGGACAAATACCAACATGCTGGAAGAAGCAAAGACCATCAGCATTGAAGTGATGCTTCTACGCCATCAACGCCTCTGGACTGGCCATGTTGTCCGAATGCCCGATCACCATCTCCCTAGTCAGCTACTATACTCCCAACTCAAGAACAGGAAACAAAATGTTGGTGGACAGGAAAAGAGACTTAAAGATGAGCTTGAAACCAACTTTAAAAACTGTGGCATAGACACCAAGAACTGGGAAGCCCTGGCCCTTGAGTGCTCTAACTGGAGGTCAGCTGTGATCAGCAGTGCTGCAGAATTTGAAGAGGCACGAAAGAAGGGCGAAAGGGAGAAACATGCCAAGAGGAAGGTGCATCAAGTCAACCCTGTCTGGGACTGCCTTCCACTTGGAAACCGATGTCCTCACTGTAGAAGAACATGCGGGTCAAGAATAGGGCTCTACCTATGCATCCACCACCAGGATACTGCACTTGGAGGACCATCATCTCAGGCTATGAGGGATCACCTAAGTAACAAGTAACAGTTATTATTACAACCCTTGACTTATGCAAAGATGATAGAAACATACATATTAACAAAAATGATCTGAAATGTGTTTTTAAAGTTTTCTATACATCACTGTGTGTGCTACATTCCACCCCCCCTTCTTACTGAGAAAAGGACTTGTGGAAATTAAATTAAGTAAATTTAATATTTAAACAATAAATATTATTATATTTATGATTCCACAAAAGGTAACCCTGCAAACAGACGAACAGGAATAAAAACATTATTATATTCCTTTTTGTGACTCCAAAGTGTAGCACTTTTGAATGACTTGTTACATTAATCCTTGCACCTGGGAGTATACCCCACAAAACCTCACTTTTATATTTGATCAAGATGGGATTGTTTTGCTCGCTACCTTCAAGCTATAGTGGTTCTACCTCTCCTTACAAGAAGATAACTAAAAATGGAGCAATTTCAACAAAGGTCATTTTAAATAAAAGTCCAGGAAAAGCTCAGATAAGGCAAATTAGTTGGTCATGGGAAAGGGAAGAGTTACTATACAACACAGAAATAGTATGCTCCCTAGCAAGAAATTTATGTATTTCTGTTTTATTCATTTTGAGAAAATATGCAATACTTAAAATATAAAGATGCAGTAAAACTCTATAGCTTAATGATAAATGTTCAGTTGATTTAATGGAAGCTGTGATTTAGTGTCACACTTAATGGAAGGCTCCTAACAAGGCTAATTTCTGTTTGCACATAAAGCAGTCCTCGAACAATAGCCTCTAGGAACATGTTGGCCTTTGGCCAGAAGTCTTGGACTATACCAAAGCAGTAACTGTACAATCATAGACCACGATTAAAAAAACCACAATTCTGCAAATCTTGAGAATTTCAAAAGGTCCTATCAACTGCTATTGGCATTGTAGGCTCATCTGAATGGTTGGAACTCCTGGTGGTGCAATAGGTTAAATCCTTGTGCTGACAGGACTGCTGACCGAAAGGTCGGCAACTTGAATCCGGGGAGCAGGGTGAGCTCCCGTCTTGTCAGCTCCAGCCTCTCATGCATGGACATGAAACCTCCCACAGGATGGTAAAAAAAAATCTGGGCACCCCCTGGGCAATGTCCTTGCAGACGGCCAATTTTCTCACACCAGAAGCAACTTGCAGTTTCTCAAGTTGCTCCAGACACGAGAAAAAAATAAACAAAATTGAATGGTTCTAATCAATTCTGACATAAGGGATCAATGTGATCTACCATGCATTTGTATGACTGCAACAGCCTTCTTCAAGCTAATCTGATCTTGGCAGATGTGTGCATTATCCCTACAGTGCAAGACTGAATCCACAACCGCCCCAACAAAGGCATATAGCATAACGGTTGTATAATAAACGGTGGGTTTGCTTGAAAACATGACACAGGATGTCTCTCCCCTTGGACCAGCTTTTACAAGACCAGTTGGAAGAGACCACCAGGGCCATCAAGTCCAACCCCCTGCCATACAGTAATACACAAACCACTTCTGATAGATGGCCATCTAGCCAATTCTAGTACTATTATATTTGGGGAGGGGGATGCTATGTGCAGCAAGACCATACAGCAGAAAACTGACTCCTGTGCTTTGTTCAAACTTGTGAAAACACCACTGAGTTGGTACAAACTGCAGCCATAACCCTTCCAGTGCTTGACTCTTAGCTGCAATGATCCTTACCTGCATAACCCTTCCAGTGCTCGACTCTCTGCTCTGGAGTGTGGTGGAGGCTCTTTGGAAGCTTTTAAACAGAGACTGGATGGCCATCTGTTGGGGTGCTTTGAATGCAATTTTCCTGCTTCTTGGCAGGGGGGTTGGACTGGATGGCCCACGAGGTCTCTTCCAACTCTATGATTGTATGATTCTGGAAGGCTGAGTGTAGTTTTTTCTTCCAAAAATTCAAAGTGCTACATGTTTAACTGTATACAAAGTTTTATTGATACAACGCAACACATTCTCCACTTCTTAACAATTATTATACAGACAGATTTTACCCAGTTTCTTCACACATTAGGGCCTGCTTTCATACATATCATTTAAAGAGGCAGCTAAGCAACAGCATGAGGCCGCTACCAAACCCTTCTCACTAAGTCTCTACCTTTTAAAGTTACTCATGCACACTTTCAGGGCAGTCACTGATGGGACTCTCCAAAATCAGGGGGGGGGGGGGAGTGTGTTGTGGAATTGATCTCTAGACCAGGTCATGGAGACAGCTATCTTGCAGGCATAGGGAGGAAGCCTGTTTTCTGTCCTGGATCTGAGGACAAATGGAAATATCCTGACAAAATAGGCATTCAAGTTGACCTGGATCTTAAGTAGTATAGAAACACTGAAAATCTACTTAATATTTAGCAGTAAAGGCTGTTGGTATGAACAAGATCCAGCAGTCCCTGAGAGACAATATACGGTAAGTATGAGGAATGGAAAGTAACTGATGCTGATTAAATAAATGCATGCATTGGGCAGCTTCTTCTTCAGCCCAAGTGAGTTTTCCTGTGTAATTTTAAATTTTAAATGTGAAGATATTTCATAGTTTTTAAACCGAATTAGACCTCCCAGTTCCTTCCCTTGAATAAGGTGATGAAATGGAAGATTTTTTAAAAAACAAGGGAAGTGTTATGGGTGAATATTTACGTTTTAATATTTTTAGAAATTTAACATTAAATTTTCATCCCATTAAATATCACTAGTGGAAGCTTATATAGCCTTGAGTTGCCATATAAACGGAATTCTGACCAATGCAAACTCCACCATGGATTTTTAAAACATAATTATACATTTGTATTGATAAAACTGTTGTTAACACTTGGTTAATGTGAAATGTCTAATATGTATATCACAAAAGATGCTGTGGCTGGAAGTAAAGGTGAGTCAAGTGAATGAAATGGGTGATACACTAGTCCGAGTCAGAACTCTCTGGCTCATTCCTTTGATACTGGCAGGCAACCTCTTCTAAAGGAGTCATTGTACCGTCTGGCCGCACTCCCATAGGTGTTATCACTTTGTCTCTGTGAAGTAAAAGAAACAATAGCTACATTTAGGAAACAGCATTAAAAGGAGGATAAAAACTTCCACCGGCAACAAAATTTATGTATTTTCTTTCCTATATTTTTACCGCACCCTATCTCACCCCAAAAGGGAACTCAGAGCGGCTTCCAAACTGGCAACAATTCAATGCCATACAGACAAACATATAAATAAGCATATACCTTTAAAACCGCAGAAATAAAAAATATAGTATCAATTCATTAAAATCAAGTATTAAAACCACACAGATCCAAAGTCACTGTCCAGGAGCCATTTCAATCATGTTGCACTTACTTCATACCTGCTTATTGCACTGATTACTCTCCAAAGGCTTGGTCCCACAGCCAAGTTTTGTTTTTTGAAATATTTTTTAATTAAAAGTTTTCAAATTACATTTAAAAAAGTGGGAAAGGGGATAAAAACATAGGAGAGAGAGGAAAAAAGGGAGGGGGGTATCAAAAGTGGTGGAAAATATGGTGAGGTACAGAGAGGGTTAGGTATAGGGGTATTTGTGCTTCCATTCTTCCCTATATTGGTTTTAATTTTTCTTATAGTCCTCTGTGCTGCTTTTTGTGGTATCCCCAGTGATGGCATCTTCTGTCAGCTGTCTTCTTTTTAGATCAATAATTTTACTTTATTTTCCTTCACCCATTCTGTGAAAGGAGTCCAGTCTGTTTTTATATATCTACCTTGTGACTTGGAGACTAATGCTGTTAATTTATCCATGCTCTTAATTTCTCAATCCATTCTTCTCTTGATGGTAGGTCTTTTTGTCTCCATACTCGGGCATAGAGTAACCTCGCCACCGTAGTTGCATATGTGAAGAGTTTATCTTTATTTGTAACCCAGTTCATGTTTGCCATCCTGAATAAAAATACTCGGGATGCATTGGGAATTTTTCTTTCAATATTTTTTGGCATAATTTATGAATTTCTTTCTAAAATCCTCTTGCTTTATCACATGACCACCACATATGGTAAAAAGATCCTTCTTGTTTCTCACACTTCCAACAATTGTGATTTTAATCTTTAGTAAATTTTGCTATCTTCCCCCACAGCCAAGTTTTTAATTTCTTTCTAAAGGTCAGGAAGAAGGGAGCTGATCTAATTTCACTGGGGAGGGAGTTCCACAGCTGATGGGTCACCACTGAGAAGGCCCTGTCTCTCATCCCCACCAGCTGAACATGCAGAGGAGGTGGGACTGAGAGCAGGGCCTCCCCAGAAGACCTTAACCTCTGAGGTGGTTCATAGAGGGAGATGCATTTGGACAGACAAGCTGGGCTAGAACCATTTAGGGGGAAAAATGAGATAGCGATGTTACCAAGACTAGAGCATGTGACATTGATAATGAAGGTGATGATACTCTTCATAGCAACAACATATTTAGTAAAAGTAGACAGAAAAAAAATCCCTCCTATACAGTCAGCTTCTTGTGGCGTGTAAATACTGGATTCATTTACATTCAAGTCAGCTTTAATTTCTGCTAGCCATGGTGACACATACCTCACTTACATCCTATTTGAATTACAGTAACTTTTGGTTCAGAAACTTGGTCCAGGTTATTTGACTGATCGCATCTCCCTTCCTGGGCCCTGAGATCCTCGGTAGAGGCCCTTCTCTCGGTCCCACCTCTATCACAAGCTTGGTTGGTGGGAACGAGAGAAGGCTTTCTCTCTTGGCGGCTGCCCCTCAACTCAGGGAACTTCCATAGATTTATTCCAGGGAGGTTTGCCATTATATTCCTCTGAAGCTGAGAAAGTATACTTGCGCAAGGTCCCCCAATGAGTTTCTACAGCAGAAAAGGGATTCAAACGCTGGTCTCTCTGTGTTCTAGTCCACAATGCAAACTACTGCACCATGCTGTCTCAGATTTTAATGTAATAACTTGTTTTAATTTTATAACAGAATGTCACCCTATTGAAAAAAACATTCAACATATTTTAACTTGTTGGATTCTATTTTAATAACTATGAACACTTGTATGACTTTTTAAACTGCGATCTGAGTTGCCTTGAATCCCAGTTCTGAGGAAAATGTAGGATCAAAACTAATAAACCTTTGTCATCATGGAAGCCACACAAAGCCAACACTAATGGGGTGGAGGAAAAAACAAAATGGTTGTCATTTTTGAGAGAGCGGAGATTCTGAACATGAAAGGGTGAATGGCGTTATGCATAAAATACGTTGGCAGACAGTGGGAAGAAGGTACAATACTAATAAAGACTTCTTTGAGGCAAGACCATATTTACTAATCCAATTAAAACCAAACTGAAAAAAAGGCCCAGATAGAAGTCAACTACTAATGGGCCAAAAACAAAGAGCAGGTCCACTGCTTAAATCAAAATGAGTAAACAAAGGCACTTCCCCTGCTATTTCTTAAATGCTAGTAACACAGCTGTTGAAGTTCCACCTGTCATTTTGAGGAAGAGGCACCCTTTTCGATTGAAAACCACAATGGCATACATATTCATTTCACTGAGCAAAAGAAGTCAGTCAGGAAAAGAGATCCGTACTATGCAGTCAGCCTCTAGTGGTGCTTAAGTACTTGTAGGTTCATTTACATTCAGCCAGCTTTTTTCTTCTCGCCCACCCCTTCTTCTTCTTTTTTAAACTGTTGCTTTTGTTTGCTGCTGTTTAATTACAGGATTGACAGCCAGTTTAATCTCTTCAAAGCTCCAAAGGCCCCTCACCGTTAATCCAATTATATCTACTCCACAAGATACAGCCCCATATAAAGATGATTAATTATTGATTAAGCCAATCAAACAGTATTAGCAAAGATTTATTTAAGCCTTTCATTGCCTCACATCTGATTATCACTTCACTTATTATATGTGGATTATGGAAAAAGCTGTAAAGGATGGTAGCATTTTGATCCCCTCTCCAAAAAGCCTTCACCATATTTTCCGTAGACAATTTGGGAAAAGGGGAGGGGGGCAGAAAGCTGTGCCAGGTACTCATGTCCTCCTCACCATAATACAACTCTTTAGAAGTGTGACTATTTTTCTTTTTTAAAATGAAGGATCCATTCTAGTGTCTACACAGACAGTGAGATCCTTTAGTATACGTTCTGTTAAGTTGTCAAAAACATGATGGGGATTTTATACAGAACTGCAATCTGATATATATTTTATTAACTTATTCCACTAATGCAATAGTTTCCATGGACAGAATGGAGCTGAGTTCCCCACATCTTTATAATAGACTTTGTAAGCACATAAGTAGAAAGACAGTTCTACCATATAAGGAAGAGTTTTACCCTATACGAAATAAACTGCTTATACTATGCTCAATTCAATCCTTTCCCAATATAAGCCCTGTTGATCTCAACAGAGCTCACTCAGTAGATATATAAAGGAGCAAAAAGCAAGGAAATATTGTCACAGAAGAAGAAACAACTGCAGCTTTCCTGCTGCAACATACTGACATGGTCCCAATAATTGTAGAATGTGATTTCTTCTGACCAATGTTGACGAGTTCAGGAAACAGTTCAGGAAAATTAGTATGGTAAACTCTGGCTCATTTCCAAATGCTTGTGTAATATAGAACTGATAAAGGTTTTCCCTCGCAATTAAGTCTAGTCGAGTCCGACTCTGGGGGGTGGTGCTTATCTTCATTTCTAATCTGAAGAGCTGGCATTGCCCATAGACGTCTACAAGGTCATGCGGCCGGAATGACTGCATGGAGCGCCATTACCTTCTTGCTGGAGCAGTACCTATTCTTTTACTCACATTTGCATGTTTTTGAACTACTAGGTTGGCAGTAACTGGGGCTAACAGCCTGCTTCCCGGATCTGAACCGTCAATCTTTCAGTCAGCAAGTTCAATAGCTCAGTGGTTTAACCCATTGCACCACCAGGGGCTCATGGAACTGATAAAACCTCAGGAAAAAAATGCTTCTCATAATCCTGTTTCTAAGACAGTGCTACCCAAAGTGGAGGTCCCTGGGCTGTTGTTACTCCAGAGGTTATTTGCTGCCACTCCATGGAGATATTCCAGGAAAGAACAAAAATATGGTAACTAATGGGCATAAATATGGTACTGATCCCTGAAACACAAGAAAAAGATTGCTGAGCACCCATTAGACAGCCCCAGAAGCACTGTTTTATGAAACCTATTTCACATATCTGTAGGGAGACCAAGGTGCTTGTTTATAAAGCTACTGTCCTCCCAACCCTCATATGCCTGCGAAACATGGACTGCCTACAGACATCACACTCAACTCCTGGAACAATTTTTTTTCAAGAATAGGGCTCCACAGCCATCTACAAACCCATTGTCAAGACACTAGACTTGCAGGACCATCATCCTTGAACTACGAAGGATCGCCTAAGTAAGTCACACATACAGAAATGAAGTCCAACAACAATTTAAACAACTAGAAGTAATAATTTTAGTCCCGCCTTGTAATGAAGAGCTCTGTGGCATTTTCCTGACTGTCATAGTAGAAACACATTATTTCTACATCCTCAGGCTTCCCATGACAGATCCTCATATGACTGGGCAGTTTCCAATAAGGGAATCTTTTTTCATATTTAAAAAAAGCACTATACACAAGACTACTGATTGGAAAACATACCATAATGAAACCTTTCATAAAAATGCCTTCTTCTTGTCCTCAAGTGAATCCTTTCAAATTAATCTGTGCATTTTTTGCTTCTGCTTCTTGCTTGCCATTTAGCTTGATAACGACTCCCAAATAACTCCCTTGTTTTCAAGGGTTTTTCTTTTTTGTCAGCTCTGTGCCCAACAGGTCAGTGCTTACACATGGAACTAATGATTGGTTTTCTGTAATGAAACAACCATACTGCAAACACCGGCTTGGTCCTTTGATAAAACAGTGTATTGGGGACCTATTCACCCCCTTATAATTGAGTGCTGCATAATAGTGCCGATCCTTTTATGAACACCATTTTGTTCCATGATTAGAAAAGGAGGAGAAAACCTATGGCGGCCCTCCTTTCTTCAGTCACCACTGTGATTAATTCTGTATTTTAATGAGTGAGGCTATTACTTAGGGCAGGTTCTGTTACATACTTGTTTTGTTGACTTCTTGTGAATGTACAACAAAACTCAGACTATGATAATTGGGGACTGTTTCATCAGGAAAAAGGGATTCCTGGTATTAATACAGTGTTGGCTTGGAAAAAGCACCAAGGCATTTTAAATTAGTCAATTAATTCATAATTACACTGCCAGTTTATAACTGCAAGAAAAATATTTATAAAGCATTTTAATTAACACTGAAAACTTTCAGTCATGCAAGATGTAGAAACACAAAGATTGGCGAATTAGTGTGGTTTTAAAACTATGTTTTATATCTTACAAAGACAAAATGTAGTCACTACTATATGGCAGTCTGGGAAAGGGCAGTGTTTGAAATATTTAAAGTAGTAAATATGCAGTGCTCTTCTGGAACACTACTTAATGTGTCCTACTCCCGTCTTAGAAGACTTATGCAATAACAATAATAATAATAATCCAAAGGGCGGATTCGAACGTAACAATGGCAAAAATTCAATGCCTTCATAAAACACACGATACTAACATAAAATCCAAGAAAATCCCCACATATAAAAGTAACATTAAAGCCTAACATCAAATTAAGACCTAACATCAGTAAATTAAACCTGGCATCAATAAGTTAAACTTCATGTAATCAGACCAAATTCTATAATAACATAAATCTAAACAAAACATCCACATTAGTGTACAAAAGCCAGCAAGGGTTCACAAAACGAAATGAGGTGGTTATGTAGTCAAATGAGGTCACTGGGCTGGAGTGGACCAGGAAAGCCCAAATACGCATAATTATCAACCAGACACCTGGCATTGATCTCTAGATCAACTAATCCCCCTCCTCTCTATATGCTAGTAAGCAAAAGTAGGTCTTCAGTTGTTTTTTAAGGAGGGGGAGGGAGGGGGCAGCTTTATTTCTTTGGGGAGGGAGTTCCAGAGGTGGGGGGCGACCACTGAGAAGGCCCTCTCTCTCGTTCCCATCAGCCGTGCTTGGAAGGAGGGTGGGACTGAGAGCAGGGCCTTCTCCAAAGACCACAGTGCCCAGACTAGTTTGTAAGAGGAGATGCGATTGGTCAAATAGCCTCAACCTGAGCCATTTGCGATCGGTCAAACAGCCTGTACCCGAGCAAGTTCAGCCAGTCCCTGAGTTACAAACATCTGACTTACAAATGACTCATAGTTGAGAACAGGGCTCAGACAACAGATGGTGAGAGAAATTGATGACCAGGAAGGGAAATTTGCTCCTGAAAGGGTTATCATGGGAAAAAGTGTCTCCACTGAAGGCTTATCTATGTACTGGAAAAGCTAATTATAATGGATTTTTGTCTATGTTTATTAGTGTTGATATTATGGCAAGGACAGTCAGGAGCTGGTTACATTTGATTGGCTGTCATGTTATCATGGATACATAGCTTTGCAGTAGAAATGTATCCATTTTAGAGTGGCTAGCAAGAAAAGGGGTGGAGCTTGAATAAAAAAGGGAAATAGGAGCTAGAGGGAAGAGGATCGGTATTTAAGTTTGTAGCTTCCATCATTATATTGAAGTAAAGAAAAAACTAACATAAGTCTAAATTCTCAGTTAGGTAAAACTGAGAGACATATTCCTTTGGGACTAAGTTTTCAGTCAAACTATTGACAGAAGAAAGTGGCTTAACAGAGTAGAAATACGTTAAACTGTTTTGAAAGTTATGTAATAACAATTTTTATGTATTCAACAGAATGAAAGACAGTTACAATAATATCCAAGTGGAACTGAAGTAAAGTACTTTGTAACAGATAAGCTCATGTGCAAAAGAATGCATAAGTAAACATTTCTTTGTTTCATGTCAATTTACAGGACTAAAGTTGCATGGCTGAAAATCAATTGGAGATTACATTGATGTAACCCGTGAGGAGAAGTTGGAAGCTACATATTGACTCCAGGTTTGGGTTACACATTGAAGAAATACACACAGACATCTAAGAATTGCATTCTGTAACAAAAACATATAAAGAAAGACGACAGAGACAGAGATAGTGTGTTTCAGGCATGAACTACAAGTCACTGAGTTTGTGAGGTTTGATTAATCACTCGCCTCGTATAGTTTCATCACCTCACATGCACATAAATGTTACTCCAGAAGAGAAATGCCAACTGTTAGAATCACCAATCTTGAGGTGAAATTTTCTGAACAGGGACACAAACAGCAAAGGAAACACTACAGGGGTGTTAACCCATCCCTATACTATCCAAACCTTATCTATCTATCTATCTATCTATCTATCTATCTATCTATCTATCTATCATCTATCTATCATCTATCTATCTATCATCTATCTATCTATCATCTATCTATCTATCATCTATCTATCTATCATCTATCTATCTATCATCTATCTATCATCTATCTATCATCTATCTATCATCCAATCTATCTATCTATCATCTATCATCTATCTATCTATCATCTATCTATCATCTATCTATCTATCATCTATCTATCTATCATCTATCTATCTATCATCTATCTATCATCTATCTATCTATCTATCATCTATCTATCATCTATCTATCTTCTATCTATCTTCTATCTATCTTCTATCTATCATCTATCTATCATCTATCTATCTATCATCTATCTATCTATCTATCATCTATCTATCTATCTATCTATCTATCAATCTATCTATCAATCTATCAATCAATCTATCAATCAATCTATCAATCAATCATCTATCAATCATCTATCAATCATCTATCAATCATCTATCTATCATCTATCTATCATCTATCTATCATCTATCTATCTATCATCTATCTATCTATCTATCTATCTATCTATCTATCAATCTATCTATCAATCTATCTATCTATCATCTATCTATCATCTATCTATCATCTAGCTATCTATCTATCTATCATCTATCTATCTATCTATCTATCTATCTATCTATCATCTATCTATCTATCATCTATCTATCTATCATCTATCTATCTATCTATCTATCTATCTATCTATCTATCTATCTATCTCTGGAGATTTATTTATTTAATATATTTATATCCTGCCCTCCTCAACCCTGAAAAGAACTCAGAGCAGCTTTGCAATTGGTAGCAATTTGATGCAATCAACAGACAATACAAATTAGACATGTATATTAAAACAAAAATTGAAAGTAATATAAACATTAAAAACACATTTTAAAATCATGTAATCCAAGGGCATAGTCAAAGGCCATTCCGGTCATTATTGCACATGATTCTACTTCACGTATTGCACAGCACTATTGGTCAAAGGATTAGTTCCAGAGCTAAGTTTGCTTCCTGAAGGTCAGGAGGGGGCTGACCTGATTTCACTGGAAAGCGAGTTCCACAGTCAAGTGGCCATCACTGAGAAGGCCCTGTCCCTCGTCCCCACCAACCACACCTGTGAAGGTGGCAGGATGGAGAGCAGGGCCTCCCCGGATGATCTTAATCTCCGACATGGTTCATAGAGGGAGATACATTCAGACAGGTAAGTTGGACCAGAACCATTTAGGGCTTTATAGGCTAAAACCAGCTCCTTGAATAGTGCCCGGTAGCAGACGGGCAGCCAGTGGAACTGATGTAACAGAGATACACTTTAAAAATGTGCCTGTTCTGACTTACAAACAAATTCAACTTCAGAACAAACCTATAGAACCCCATCTTGTCCATAATTTGGGGACTGCCTGCAATACATATGGTGTGTGAAAAGAACAATGCCAAAAAGGCTCAAATGAGCATATAAATGATAGTATTGACACCCCAAAACCAGCAAATATTTGTGCAGTTCTTCTGTTATTACATTTTCTATACTTCATTTTCTATACTGCATTCTGAACAACTGTTTCACTTGCTTCAAAAAGCAAGAGAAATGCTACTTGTCTATGCATTTGGGATGACTAGCCTGTATAACAAATATAAAGGAAAATAAGAAGAAAATAAGTGTAAGATTAGAAGTTGTAGAAGTTACCTTAGTTACTGCTGTTGTTTAAAGCAGAATTAAGGAACGTGTAGTTTTTGACAGCAACTCCCAACGTAGTGAAAAGCAAGTTAGAGGAATAAGTCCTACAACATCTGCAGGGTGACAAACTTTCCATTCCTGATTTTTAGTCTGTTTTCAGGTTAAAATTATTCACTAAAATAATATGCAAGAATGGCAGATGCAAAATATATAAGCTTTGTTGTGGGATAAAAAACCTGGATCACAAAACAAAGAAAAAATGTCCCCCAACCTCCCCAGAGGCTGTGGGGGATATTTCTGGCAAGACATAGACACTTAAGTATTTTCACAGAGTGCAGATTAGTCCTCAAAAATCCCACAATGTTGTGATATGATGCAATTTTCAGGTGATTTACCCTATGCCCAAACAAACCAGAAATGTATTTTTTGTTAAATTAAACAAACTGGAGGCAATTTTTACTTCCCAAAGAACAAGGCAATATAGTTTGGTTGTAGTGCCTAAACAAAGTGCTAAGTATTACTATTTTATCATCTTTCCCTACTTTCATTCTAAAATGATTTGTAAAAAGGAATAATTTTGGAGTTTTTGGAAGGAAGATCGTGCAATTTCTAATGAAGATAGGAATGTACACAGAAGCAATAACGCACTACCAGCAACAACATCACAGTGAGAGACAGTGTCTATTGCAGAGGAAGCAATACGACTGGTACTTTTTGAAAAGATGGAACTGAGTTTGCCAATGTTTCAGTTTCTTGGGAAAATGACCCTTGGTGAGCACAGTACTGAAATGAGCATGAGCTCAAACAGGTCAAAGACAATGGGACTCTTAAGGAAAGAAAGACTATACAGCTAAAGAAGACTCCATTAGAAATGAAGGCAAATGCAGCTACATTACCTAGAAAGCTTATCAAACATATTGACAAGTTTCATTGCTTCGTATTCTTTTTGCTCTTCAGTCATTTCATCCATTGGGTTGGGCATTGGCTCTTCTAAGTGACCTGTAATAAGGTTAATGCTGGGAAGGGTGAATGGGGAAAAAAATAAAGTAAGAAAAATATTAAATAAATCCTTCAAGTAGCCTTCTTAGCCTACAGACAGGTTTACTGACTTGTTTTTTTCTCAATTCATAATGGAATTGACAACTAATACACAGAGGGAATGAATAAAGCTGAAAGGACTATAGTTATAGCTCATCAAGGAAAATCAAACTGTTCATATAAGAAATATCTGGTCCACTTCTCTTTAGAAATGAAACCTCAAAATGTTTCTAAAATGTCACATACTTCTTGAACCAAATATGCTTAATCATATTCTTTTTCCTTCCCCAGGAAACTAATATAATTAGAAATAGGGTTGTTAAATGGAGAGTAATGATCATTATACCAGCTTGAAATGGATTTTGATCAAAATAAAGTTGCCTAGTCTGTGAAAAACACTATTCCAAAAATAAAATGCATATCTTTGACTAAAGAGAAATAAATAGTCTAATTTTAATTGCTCGACCAAGAGATAAGGATACACACAAACAAAATGTTATCATACTTTGGTTTTGCAGATTTGTATTCTTCTGTATCTGTATCTTCATCATCTGAATACCAGGTTTCTCCTCTTCCTCCGGCTAACAGTCCTCTTGCTGCTAGCAGTCCTGCTGCATTGCCATAGCCAGTGTATTTCAGTAAGCTGTCAACTGTAAGCAAATAGGGAAATAATTCTTTAGAACAGAACAAGATTACCAGGAATAGACTCACACTTGTAAATGTGATTCAAATGTCACAGAAAAGAACTGGTAACACCACTTCTGGGTATTTCTTGCCTATGAAAATTCATGAGTCCATAGGCAACTTTGAAGGGATATATACACATAGGGCCACATTAAAAGTCTGGAAGACCTTGGAGGGGCATATCCGTACTCTATATGCTCTTCCAAAAAAAAGAAAAAAAAGAAAAAAAGAAAGAAAGAAAGCACCTATCTCCCGCTCCAAAGCCCTATAGAGGACATAGGAACAGGTTTTGGGAGATGAAGCCATGGACCCAACCGAATAATCTACATAAAGCTGTAGATGTCTTTTAATATACTTTTTGAACAAAATATGCAAGAACAGAGCTGGGTTGTTGAAAATAAAGAGACTTGGAGATCTCTTATTCTTAGGGTTGCCATAAATCAAATCAACATGATGGCAATTAATAACAACAAGGAGTATGTTATACAGTGTACAGTAAAGACATTGTTCTTTAAAGTAGATTTTCAATAAAATGTTTCAGATAGGTAGTTTGTGGATTATTAACTCAAAATAATAGTCCTGGTTTGTAAAAAGTTTGTTGTTTTGTGCCTTCAAGATGTTTCTGACTTATAGTGACCATAAGGCAACCATATCATGCAGTTTTCTTGGCAAGATTTATTTGGGGCTGCCCTTGCTTCCTCTTAGGCTGAGAGAGCATGACTTGACCCAGTGAGTTTTCCATGGCTGATCAGGGATTCAAACTCTTGTTTCCCAAATCCTACTCCAATACACAAACTAGTGTACCAGAGGCTGTCTCTTATAAAACTTTCCCTAGATGCAATTTTAGCTTTGCAGTAATTAAGCTATTTACAAGCATACAATAAATACATTCATGACATTTGCAATAATAAAAAGCTGGTACCTCTCTCTTTACAAAGAACAAAAAGGAATTCTGCAGCAATTTGCTTCACTCCTAAGTCAACATGAGTCATAAGACGCACCAATTTGTTTCGTAATGTTGTGCCGACTTCAGGACGATTGGACACATCTCTCAAGGGAGGCAACACCTACAACAACAAGAAGCAATTAATCCCAAAGGAAACCAGTAACCCCTGATATATCTTTTAAAAAGTTCTGCTATAAATGTCTTTCTGTTTCAAGAGTTTGGAAGTAAACAGCATCAAGTCACCAGTGGATTTTAATTAGCTTCCAAACATCAAAGGTATAATCACATTGCTTTATGACTATAATTGAAAAGAAGGAACAACAACTTTTGCAATGTATCTCTGTGTGTTTTGGTTAGTTTTATAGTTATGTAGGTATGGCCTCACTAAGTAAATTTCACCTGGTTCAAGTGCAGCTCATGCTGCACTTTATTTTTTATTATTAAGTTACAGTATAACAAACAAAAAATGAAAAATAATAAGAACAAGAACAATCTGTGCAAACAACACATTTTATGTATATTCCAAATATCTGGTTAGCTGAACAGCTGCTTAAAAGTATGACCTAAGTGCCACTGTTAGTAAAAATTATGAAAACATCTAAGGAATATTATAGAGACACTTGATTAGGAAAACATTGTTATCTAATGGCTCTGTCTAATCCAGTACAAATATCTTGCCCAACATAGCGCCTTCTATGCTATTGGTAATATGGACGACGAAACTGGATCACGATTTTAGTCAGGAGTTGCATTGGATTGTTATTGATGGGCCAATATTGTGTATTGTGTATGATGTTTTTTTATGGTTTTAACTGAATACTGTTGATTGTTGTATTTTGTTGTAAACCGCGTTGAGTCGCCAGTTAGGCTGAGAAACAGCGGTATACAAGTACAGTAATAAATAAATAAATAAATGCTGGCAAGAGTCATGACAAACGCCAGAAATCAGTTTACTCAGTGTATGGAGAATGGAGAATGGGGGACATCACCTAATTTGATCTTCAAAACTACATAAAACAAAAATTTAGGTATGCGTCTAGAATAAATATTTCTGATTCATACAATGGGTTTTATTAAGTTTTGAAAAAAGGAACTTATGCTGCCTCACCCTGTATAATCAGATACCTTGAAGATATCATTCACTATCAAATGAAATAAGACAAGTTACTATTATGGGGAATAATAGTAACTATTATGGGGAATAATTTTTTTGAACTACTACTGTAACAGATTTGCTATTTGTCTTTCACATGACATTAAATAAATATCAAACTTTTATGCTATTGTTCCTTACGTATGTTTAGGTATCTACACACACACACACACACTCACACCAAATTCATGTTAAGGAGTTTGTTTTCTTATATTCAGATTGCTTTTTAACCAATAGGCATCATTCAAGAAAATAGGATTTACTTCCAAGGAAACGAATATAAGATAACAGTGCACAGCATCAGCAGTCTTGTTCTCATTCCCTTTCTTGGCGTATTTATTTATTTACCTTATTAATATCTCGCCCTTCTCACCCCATAGGGGACTCAGTGCGGCTCACATATATAGGCAGTGATTTGATGCCATACGAACATACATCAGTTAAATAAACATATACATTAAAATAATAAAAAAACATATAAAACATTAAAAAACACAGCAGAGCTTTATTTTGATCAGATATAATTTAACATATTGCAAATAATGTGTTGCTGGCAATTAATTCATATTAGGTGAAGAAAGCCCCCTGAAATTTTAAAATAGGCAGTGCATCAAACATCTCTTGTCTTTTGTTATCTTCATCTCTCACCTGAGCTTTAATAAATTTCCTTACGTTCCGATGGGACCGGCAGCATCTTGTTAGTAGGCTGAGAACTGGAGTGAGCCCTTCCCGATAACTACTCCCCTAGGAAAAAACATAGATAATTACATTTTTCCGGGTGCTGGCATTTTCTACTACACCTGTATTCACCTTCCAGGGCAAATGTGGGTGTCATGCAGGATTGTAATGCAATTTCTGCAATACAGTGGCCCCTTCCATTGAGATATTGTTGTATTGCTTTCCAAAGAGAAAAAGGATGAAAATGAATACCTTCAAAAACATCTATTTACTTCAGAAAGCTATACCTCAGGTCTTGTTCTATTTCACAAACTGTACTAAAGCACTGGGCGGATGGGATTTGCTCCCCAACCACTTCTAATTCCACACTCAGGGCTATTATGGCCTGTGTTGGGTCCCAGAGACTGAGGTGTGCTCTCCAAAGCTTATTCAGTTCTTCTTAAGGATTTCTCAAAATAAGATGCTGGACCACCACATTTCCACGGTGGCTAGTGAATCTAGTTTTCTAAAATGTAAAGGTGTTTCTGACAATCATAGCAGATGCCAAGTCTTTTTCATATGTTTTCAAAATATAAATATGCCCTTAAAATATTCCCGATTCAGTTATTTTGATTGTTTAGATCTGGAGGCATATTAGGCAAATATGGTAGCCTAGAATATAAAGACACAAATTACAACACTCTCAACATCAATTGACAATTTACATGAATATTTCTATCCATATACTATGACATGCAGTTTCTAAAAACAGAAAATGATTATGCATTTCTACCTAACAGCTTCTAACCATGAACATCTGAAATAATTGGAAGTAGATTGAATATTAGCCAGACCCATGTTGTTCAGCTGCATCTTACATCAAGTTTTAGAGTCACGGGACTCTAAACTGCCGTATAGACTTGAGTATAAGCTGAATTTTTCAGCTCTGTTTTTAGGCTGATCCCTCTCCCAGACTTATATTTGAGTCAAACTTAATTATTTTATTCTGTTGTCATTATTATTACATTTATTATTATACTCTATTTATTGTTATTACATTTACATTATTTTACTCTATTATGTTATTGCATTTATTCTTTCACTCTATTTATTATTGTTATTATTACATTTATTATCTTACTCTATTATTATTGTTACGATTACATTTCCATTATTTTACTCTTTTATTATTATTTTTATTAAATTTATTATTTTACTCTATTATTATTGGAAGGATATGCAAACACATTTACATTGAAGAAGGTTAGAATAATGCTTTAATCAGAGCTGGACAGTCTTATCTTAAATTACAGTTTTATGTAAATATTCAAAAACATTTAACCTACTGATGCCTCAATTAATGTAATTTTATTGGTATCCATTTTATTTTGAAATTTACCTGTAGTTGCTTTGACAATGACAATGCTTTGAAAAGAGCAGTGAGAAGAGAGAATGCTTAATCCATCAAAGTCTTTCTCCAGAGAAAGAATGAAAGAGAGAACTTGTATCACAAGACACATTTACTATGTGAAATGTACTTTACCCCTCACGTGCAAATAATTACCTTGTCAATTCTCTTCTCCATGAACTTCAATAGCACTCTAAAAGCATCCATATTCATTCCATCATATTTTATGTCTGCTTCTTCTGTGTTCTCTTGAGCTGATGGACTGATCAGCACATCCAGACATGACACTGGAACATTGCTCAAAAGGTTGATCGCATTGCTGAAAAGACATTTTTATGAACAGAATCTCAGAACATTTTGTTAAAAACACACCTAACAATAATACTACAATGTGAATTCCAAGCATTTGTAATGAAGAACATGGAATATGACATAAGAATATTGTTTTTGTTGTTAACTGCTGTCTGATCAGTTTCAACTTACATTGACGGTATGGATAGAGACCTCCAACCTGGCATCAACAGCCCAACACATATCTTGCTTATTTGACTGTATCCATTGGTAATGTGGACTTCTTCTTTTCCTACTACCTTCTACCATACTAAGTATATGGGCCTTATATTTCAACACACAGCCATATGAGCTATGCTTATCTTGAACAACTACCCAGATACGTTTTAAGTAACAGAGTCCCCTGGCAGCAAAATTTTAGTTTCATTGTTTGTGTGGTCACAGCTGAGAGGAAAGAGATGAATTCATCAGATACTCGAGAGAGCTCCAAGATAAATAGAAAGTGCAGGGAGTGCTGGGAGCACCAAAGACAGAAGAAGGGAGGGAAATGTTTTCCAAACACTGAAGGTATGGGCAGAAAGAAGAACATCTAGACTGTAATGCATTTTGGTCTTTCCAAAAGTTCCTAGAACATGCAGATAATAATACTCCATTGACAGATACTATTATGAAACAGTGAAATACTCTGAAGAAAAGCTTTACATTGTCTCATATCCTCCAACCTTCCAGGTTCCAGAATTTATTATTTCTAAAGGTGATAACCTTATAGGAAGTCAAGACTAGACAGCTAAAAAAAACCTTGAAGGAGAAAATGCTGGGAGGACAAGGGAAAACATTTCTCAGTTTAACTTTGTGTTTGGTACTTTATACACATAATCGGTTCCTAAACTTAGGAAGCGAGAACAACAGTGAGGGCATGGGTTGTGCAGCTCTAGTGAGCTGTACCAAAGGCCAATTTCTACAGTCTTTAATAAAGAGCATAAATGTAAATTTCACTAAGATATATTTTTCAAAAGCAGAGGGGAGACCAAAGTATGTAGCCATATGGCTGGTTAAAAAGACCCATATTATTAATGAAGGGATGGTTCCTTTTGGCCATGTATGATTTACGCTGCAGTTTAAATGCTTTTGTTGGGGTTTTTTGAGTATATGTTATATATTGTGTTCACCTTTTCTAAACATACAGTGATATCTCAATTAACAAAGCCTCTAACAAAAAAGATACTATTTACAAAGTATTTGTATGGGAGCTTACTATTCACCTTGCTTTGTCTTCTGTCTAGCTGTTTTTTATTTTTTCACACTGGGAATCTGGTGAAGGAGAACTGGGAAAAGACAGGGTCTCAGTGTTGCATTATAGGAGTATATCTATAGTAAACAATGCAATAAACATCACCTAGGAAAGAATGGGATTCTACTCTAGTAAGGTAAAGGTTTCCCCTGACATTATTTCTAGGGGGGGGGGGGGGGGGGGGGGGGGTGTGGTGGTGCTCATCTCCATTTCTAATCCAAAGAGCCGGCGTTGTCTGTAGACATCTCCTATAATAACTTTATAATAACTTTATTTTTATATCCCGTGACCATCTCCCTGAAGGGACTCAAGGCGGCTTACAAGCAGGACCAAGCCAAACACAACGAAGTTTATCACTAAAAACAAATTTAAAACATAATAAACCTGTAACTATCTAATTAACAATTTAAAAACAATAGAGTATTAAAACAACCATGTAGTCAATCAAGACAAATCTCATTAACCAGAACCAGGAATAAGATGGGCAAGATCAGAAATTAGGGAGGGGTGGGCATGGACTTGTGCAAATAACATATTATAGGGTGCATGGAGCGCCATGGATTATTCCTCATTTTCCAGATCAATTAAAACAAACACTACTTTATCTGAACAAATGTAGTCAAATGAAGAAATGTCTCTGTGCTGCAATTTTTTGTTCCAGAAGTCTAAGTGCTCAGAGAAATTGTGCCGTTTTCTTCTATATTACAAAGTACAGTAATTGTTTTATTATTTGCTGCCAATGTGTCACAAAGATATGACTTTAAAAAACAACAGGAGAGTCAAGATGGACTAGAGACATGTTGATGAGCTCCAATCTTGCTCTTCATGTAAAATCACCAAGGAATAATAATAATACTTTTTTGTATTCCACCCTACCTCCCCAAGGGGACTCAGGGTGGATTCCAGTATAAACCAACACAAAGGCAAACATTCAATGTCTAGAAAGAGAAAGGCTTCCCCTTCTGGGGGGTGGTGCTCATCTCCATTTCTAAGCTGAAGAGCCTGCATTGTCTGTAGACACCTCCTAGGTCATGTGGCCAGCATGACTGCATGGAGCACTGTTTACCTTCCCACCCAGGTGGTACCTATTGATCCACTCACATTTGCATATTTTCAAACTGCTAGGCTGGCAGAAGCTGGGGCTAAAAGAGGGATCTCACCCCGCTCCCTGGATTCGAACCACCAACCTTTCAGTCAGCAAGTTCAGCAGCTCAGCGAGTTTAACCCACTGTGCCACCAGAGGGATTCTACTCTAGCAGAGTTAAATACTTTAAACTGAGTTAGAAGTATATTGAACATGTATTATGTACAATAGGCAAGCTGCTTCCAAAACCACTTTAGAGCATATATGAAGATCAAAATAGAAAGAAAAAGGGAAAGTAGATTTAGCTTGCTTCAGAGCTACCCTGGCACATTAAAAATGGAAATCATAGGAAAAGGCATGTATTTTGGAAGAAGCTTTCAAGAGGTATCTAGAAGAGTAAATTGTTTTGTTTCACTTGTGCAAGGTTTACTTGATGTGGATGGTTCAAGTAATGTGTATATTGTTTGTTCAAAATGAAAAGTTTGCTAAAACATGTTGAACTGATACTCTTTTTCTGTGGTGTGGGCAGGCACATCTCCCTATTCTACCAATGGTGCCAAAGTTTATGTTAAAGAAATAAAGTTCAGGAAAGCATGTATTTCATTAAGTGAAGTATTTTTGTAATTGGACCTCCAATACCTGAGAATTTTGGATTTTCAGCTGGAGAAGAGGTGGTTTAGGTTGAATTTACAATAATTATGCTAATACAAACAACTGGATGCCAAACCCTTGGAATCAGAATTTAGAGGGCTAATTGGAATCACTGTCTAGTGCATTTGCATTTCTCTTTGTCCAGTTTATTGTTCCTGTTACTGAAGGTTATTAGTTTGCAAGCATTATGAGAGACTTTCTGAAGCCATTATGAGCAGCTTCAAAACAAAAGTACAATTTTCTCCATCCATATCTTGTAGGTCATCTTAAAATGAGGCTTGTAAAAAAAAAACCCAAATCTTTTCAGACTTTATGGTTTGAGAACTTAAAGTAGATATTTCTTCCCGGGTTTGAATGTTTAATTTTGGGATCATTACATACATTAGGGAGTTAAAATATTTTAATCTGAGTTAGAAGTATATGAATATAAAAACAAAATTTGAAAACAGACTAGGATGCTGCTAGTTTATGGTAAAGGAAAACAAAAAGCTGAGGGACAGCAATTTGTGTTACATATCCTCCAACCATTTAAGGTTACATTCTGAACACAACAGAGCAACTAATCTTGGGGAATTTACTGGATGGCTTTGGCCAAGAAATGTTGTTGTTCTATCTCATTTGATGCACATATTCTATTGCAAAGTACTCAAGAAGAGAAATTTCCAAGTAAATCCTCTACTCACAGTATAGCTTATATTCGCCTGCCTCTCGGTTGAAGCTGCAGAACCAGAAGCTAAGCTCATGCTATAAATTAGGCTTTCCTGAAGCAACTATTCACAAAAAAACCTGCCTTCAAGAAAAAAAAGAATGGGCAAGGAACAGCAAATTCAACACAGCAAAAGAAAAAAAACAAAACCCTAAAACCGGCAGCTTGGAGACTTTCTACAAAAAGCTCCTTTTTACTGGTTTCTTATTAAGCAATGGTGTTCCCAAACACCTACAAAATTAATTTTCTGGATCACTGTGCTTCAGCTATTCTTTTCAATAACCAAAGCCTGGCTTTCTGATCTTTGTCACTCTGCCTGACAGTTTTATTTGTGGTAGAGGAGTGTATGAAATTCTCCAGCTACCAGGAAGTCAGCAACGGTGCACAGATCTGCACAATAGTGTTTGCATTCCTGCTCCAGGGGGTAAAATGCTGCCTCGCTCTCAGCTTCCTAGAGATCATTAATCACCGAGACATGACATCCACCCACTACTGCTCTCAGCCCCCTCCTGATATGCAAATGTGGATGCAAACAACCACTTAACACCATTGAAAGCCTTGATTAAAAACTTATTAGCAGCCAAACATGGCATTTATTTCAAAATGCAATAATTTAAATTGTGGATATTCTAAAGTGACAAGAGCCACCTAAACTTAGGTGTTATGCACTTTTTGGTCGGCCCAAACATGGTATTGTTTTGTGGATTTCAGTTTACAATAAATACCCTGCATTCAAACAAGGAGAACAAAAAAGTTATGATTTAAACGTTAACAGAATTGTTTTAATTTGTATACTTTTTGGGAAATGGGGACATCTAGTACAGGACACCTTATTATAAATAAACCTTTCAAAAATGTCCAAAATAATATTTGAAATGTAAAACAAACATATATTAAAACATCTATTTATCATTTATTTAAATCAAATCCATGCCGATACACACACACACACGGTATTTGGATGGTCAGGAATAAACTGAAAAAAAAAATGTTTGACTATTTCTATAGCACATAAAGTTGTCTAAATGTTAGAAAAGTAAAAATGTATTTATTTTTCTCCAATGCTTGAAGACAGATTTCGTCAAACAGCATGGGGCATTTTCTAATGTCAAGGGGGAACTCTGCTCTACCCAACCAACAACGCTTGCTTTTAGAAAATTTAGGCGGGTTCTAAGTGATTTTTCTTACAAAGATATAAATCCCAATTATATATAAAGACAAGAGCTGCATATTCAATGATATGGATTATGCTGTGTATATGTATGCGTGTCTTTTCAAGTTAACTTATGATGACCCCATGAATTCTATACTTTTTCCAACGAGGAATCCGGAGTGGTGGCTTGGCCAGTTTCTTCCTACAGCGCCTGGTATTTATTGGTGATCATGCATCACCAATGAATCCTGCTTAACTTCCAAGATCAAATAGGATCTGGTACCACATGCTTCTTGACAGCATCAAATCTGTTTGCAAACACAGGCTTTCACTGATTTAGCAACCAGCCAGGAAACTGTTTAAATAAGGGTTCAGCAACTCTGGCAAGTCTGAGGACTAATTTTTCTGCTGATGGGATCGCCAAGAGAACGTCCAAGGATGCTAACAAATAAGGAGGGCAGAACAGAAGTGTCCAGAAATCAACTTCTGGTTTTCAAATAGGAGGCTTTTAAATTAAGTATTGGACAATCTGAAAGGTGAACCATAACTGAAAGGTGAACCATAGCTTCTGAAGGGCTTACAAGACAGGCAGTTCATCCTTCCCCCTTTTCCCTAAATAAGACAGAGCACAGAGGAATATTTGCTGCACAAACAGGCATGAGGAGCATCCTTTATCCACTCCTACTTGAAACCAATTGTTCTGCTTAAGATAAATACAGTTTATCGAAGACTTACATATCTCATATATGTGAAAATGAAACTCTAGAATGAGTTGTTACCATACCCACTTAGGACTTTTTTTTGCACACAAGATGATATCACTTCTGGTCAAAATAAGTTCCCATTTAGGCTATAAAATACATTAGTGTGACACAGCTAATAATTTGCATATTGACTATATGTTGTTATTTAAATATTGTAGTGGCAATTGAACTCCCTGTTGTATGCATTACTCAGAAACTGGCTCCTCTGGGGAGAAAAAGGAGGGAAGAAGGGAGAGAGGGAAAAATGATTATTGTTTTTATTTCCCCATGACCCTTTGTGGCTATAAATGAACTACATTCCGTTTTCAACTCCTCAGTGTCAATTGGGGGGGGGGGGGCACAGAGATAGGAATTTATTTATTTATTTATGTGCTTGTATACCACTAATATCTCAGCCTAAGTCGGCGACTCATTGCGGTTTACAACAGTTAAAAAACAGTTAAAAAACAGTATTCAATTTAAAAACATAGAACACATATACAATACAAATTATTGGGCCACCAATAATAATTCCGTGCATCTCGTAACTCAAATCCCAATCCAATATTCGGCGTCCATGATTACCAGTCCTTTAGTCATCAACATTCGATTGCCACGGCTAACCGAATGCTTGTTTAAACAGCCATGTTTTCAATCTCTTCCGAAACACCATCAGCGAGGAGGCTGATCGTACCTCTAAAGGGAGGGTGTTCCAAAGCCGAGGGGCCACCACAGAAAAGGCCCTGTCTCTCGTTCCCGCCAGCCGCACTTGTGAAGCCGGCGGGATAGAGAGCAGGGACTCTCCAGAAGATCTTAGGGTCCTGGTGGGCTGATAGGCTGAGATACGTTCGGATAGATAAGTTGGGCCAGGAATAAAAGATTCTGCCATTCTGTCAATTCACTGCCAGCTTCCTTTAACATATCATTGAACTATCCTTTTCCACATATTAGAAGCTAATGATGCAAGAGTACAAAGTAAACAAAGATACATGCAATAAACACACCAATAAATAAAACTGGGATTCTTGTGACATACCCATTTCCCCTTCTTGACTCAATAACTTTTCTCACATTTTGTTGTAATAGACATTTTCAATCATCACTTGTCAAGTTACCAAAAATGTAATGGCTATCCGTAAAACACATGAATGATAAACCTTGATTTTGAGTCCGACATGTTGGAATTCTAAAGCACAGAATTTCAGACTTTAATCTCACACATAATCCACACGAATATGCTATGATCTACACTCTGAATAGAGGGCAGTATGTGTTCACACCTAGAATCTTCATTTCTGTAGAGCACAATAAGTGCATCAACTGAACAAGAAAACTAGATATCAACAAACAGGGAAAGGCAGGAGAAGAGCCATAATCACGAGGAGAAGAAGGAACACAACAGTTTGATTATGGCACATAGAAGATGATGTAAAAGGGAAACAGAAGGAAAAGTGCAGTGAGCCAGGGAATATGCCTAAGAAGCGGCTTTTCAGGAACAGATAATGCAGCAAGACAGACTAACTGTGGTCGCAAAACTCTGTTCATATACCAGTGGGTCTACGGCTGTCATATTACTAAGATCTAACTGTCATCAAGTAAATAAACTCACCCTCTATCAGGCTTTGTTTCAGCAGGTTATGCCTTTAATTTCAAGACCTACCCACACATGTTTGAGAGTTGGCAGGAAAGAAGAGAAACAAGTGAGCAATTATTTACATCCCAGGCAAGATCTATAGCACCTAGTGTGAAATATTTTTTATAGCTGCTTCAAACTTTACTTAAGAGAACCACACATATACAAACTCAGGGTGTATTGAACAGAGCACTGAGGAGAGGGTGGGCTGAAATGAGCTAACTACACAGGCTACGAACTATAGTTTCTGATGGTTGCTCTTAACTAAACAGTGCACTAAGCACAGCATTTCCGCCTTGCCTGCACATCCATCTCTTAATAAGGTTAGTATGCCATGCTCTCCCAGCATACAAAAGAAAAACTTCACTATGAGACACAGGTCATGACAGACCCATTTACAGTCTTTAAAGTTTTTGAAATAAAAATTGAATCCTTTAATATGAAGTATAGAGAGAACGCCTGTTCCTCTATCTCTTGAAAACTCAAAAAAGTTGTTTCGTAATGTCAAGAGTTTTAGTTAGAACTGGCATAACATGGTCTTCCCTAATATGATGCCCTCCAGATAAGTTGGACTACAACTTCCATCAACCCCAGCCAAGCTTGCTTTGGATCTACCTCCACAGAATCACTGTCTCAAAGATACTTTATTCAGTTTTTAAAAATCACGTTCCAATAATTCTATGCCAATCCTGCTGTTCACTTAAATAAAAAAATAGTATTTTAACGTGTCCAGGGACTGAAAAATCAAGTCAAGAACTGAAACGTTCTATTAGCTAAATGCTCAGTGATGACTGCTTCTAACAGTGCAGCTTGAGAAATGTAACCTTTGGGTAACCTTTGGGTAATTGTCTGCATACAGCTAAGTATCAATAACTTTAAAATGAAAATATTTACACATTCGAATTAGAAATATTATGAAAGCAAGGACTGACATCTTCAGTTCATAGTGAAAGCAAAATGAAAATAAAGGCATTACTTTCCATTTAAAGAAAGAAAACAGGCAATGGAGAGTAACAGAATGGAGCAATAAAATTTTATTACATCTAGTAGACAAGTGCCAGATGAAATTGGACTATCCTTTGAATAAACAGATTCACCAACCTGTGCAACTCTTCTGTTTTATCTTCAGTGGGACCCTGAGTTAACAAGCAATGACGCAGAATAGCAGCCATATAACGAAATTCATGAGAGTCATTCTGTATAAATATAAATTGTGAAGAAAAACATATTTCACTGTCTTCAAATGATGAGGTGAAGTTAAATAAAAGGATTGTCATGTTGTGAAAATCCTTATCAACATGAAATTTGTTTTGCACACTCATCTCAAGCTATCTCTTAATTAAAATGTTGTTACTTCTATTACAACTCTGCATGGTCACTAATCTTCTCACTCTATACCCTTCTTTTTGAGCACTCGGAGCAATTAACAAATGGAATATTCAAATCTGGTTACATAAGTGTGGATAAAGCTGACATAAATATACAAATTCAGTACTACTTGTTATTCCAGAGCATTATTTGTACAAATACGATGAAGTCCGAGTAAGCTGCGCCCATAATGAAAGATTCTCCATTCTACTTCCCTCACACCCTCAAAATTTGTTTTAAGGCAGTGGTTCCCAACCTGTGGTCCATGGACCACCAGTGGTCTGCAAGAACTAAAATATGGTCTGCAGCCTCACCGTTTCTACACCACTGCAATGAGAGCGACTGGTCTCGTAAAACCTTCTTATAGTGCTGAAGCTTATTAAATATGGTTTTCTGTGGGCAAGCAGATGGGAACTACTGGATAGCATATGTTCTGTATCAGAAACTAGAGCTGATGTGGTCTATCCAATGAAATTTTCTGAATCAGCACCCCAAACCGAATCAAAAGTTGACCAAAAACGGATTCGTAACCCTTTTGGTACTAATGTTAGAGAATGGTCCCAAGTCAAAGTGGTCCCTGGTGAAAAAAAGGTTGGGAACCTAGGGGGTTGAAGTACAACTGAGGAGAGGGAGAGCTGGCAATGATGACTACTAATATCCAGCTCTCCTTATGGAATATTAATTGATATGATCAGGAAGGTCTACTGTGCTGCACAACAGAGCTGGCCCTTGATAATCCTTGACTACTCTAGTCAACACAGTCCCAGCCTCCTACCAAACTCAGGAAAGCCAAGTACTATTCAGTCTCACTCCTCCCTGCATTCTCTCAAGAGCCTAAATAAGGAGGCAGGCTGAACATGGAAACAAAACTAAAACCAACCAAAGTCAACAAGATGCAATATTGTCTAACTTTTTCCCCCAACAAAGATGTTCTTTTCTAGCAACAAACACACTCCTTAGGACACAAAATTGTCAGGACACATCTATTGCCCTTTAGCACCCAAAAACTTCATTGAGAGTACATTAAATGCTGGACATTGGGAAAATACCTAGAATGATGAGTTTCTATATCCCTTTCCCCTCAATGCAGTTCTAAAATACACTCTGTACATTCTTATCTATAATAATTCCTTATAGTTACTATTAATCAATGGACAAAGTTTGCACACCACTTTTAATTTACAAGAGCTCCACTTTTATTGAACTTTTTTAAAAGGCAAAACAACGTTTCTCTAATAAGCAACTGTGGGGAATACTTATTGAAAATGTGCAAGCACACAACTTCGATAGGAAAAGTTAACTTTCATCTACTTTTTAAAAAAAGTATCAGTTTTCCCTAGCATTAAATGTACTTCTCCACTATAATAAATAAGTAACAAACTTTATACCCTGCCACCAACTCCCTAATGGGGACTTGAAGCGGCTTACATGGGGCATTATGTACAATCCAGTGAATTACTCTTTTTTGGGGTGCATCCCTAGGCTACCAAGATAAGGTACTGTGGTAGTGAATTAAGTTACTACTTCTAAAGAAGGCAAGTGTGACTGCAACCTAAGGTATGTTTGCACTACCCAGCTTTCTCCAGGTAAACTAATGACAATCCTTTTTTCTTTCTCTTCAGGAATGCTTTCTCTTGCAGTGGTACAATTAACTGCATTCAGAAAAAGAAACATAAAAATACTATGCAAAGCAGCAAGCTGGGATTTTATGCATCTCAGGATTTGCTGTTGACGGCTGTAAAATACAGAGCACTGCTTCAAACACAGTCCTTCCCAGATAGCAGAATTCTATCCAAATTAACTAATGTGGACCTAAAACAGATTCTTCCAAAATAGAAGAATCATTTTACATCCTGGATTTTGTGTAGTTCCTCCTGCTTTATTATTAAGAATGACTCTGTAAGTGAGTAGTTAATTGAATAAGCATCAATCACCTGAATATTGAGCTTAGAGATACCACAAGCATGTCAATATAGACAATCTTACCTGCACTACTAGAGAAATAAGGTCTGGTCAGGACATTTCTTACCTCACTGTGTACATTCCAACTGTCAAGAGTAACATTAAAGAGAGCTTTCAGCGCTTCAATGGCACAATCTGTCTCTTGTACTGACAAAGGTGACATTTCCTGTTCTTCAGCTGTGATGTATTTATCTGTCCATTTTATGCTAAATGCACTTTCCAGGGCCTGAGTCAACAGTGGCAACCCCTGGAGATCATATCTCAACTGTGATCTGATATCTGGGTGCAAAAGGGAAAGGAGGAAGAGGAGTCGCAAATCAAAGCACTTTATGTCTTCGACAAACTGTTGATCCTTGCATTTTTTCAGGAGATTGCAAAGCATAGCTGCCAGATTCAGTTCCAGACTAAGTTTCTGGGCAGCTGGGCTATTAAAAACAATGTTACAAAGGCATTTTAAAGCTTCCACTATGACAGGGAAATCAGTCACATCTTCCAAAGGATCCTCCAGAGAATCCAGCTTTGCCAGCTTCATCAAGATCTGCATGTTCTTCTTTGTTGTTACGGGAACTAAGACTTTCTTGTCTCTTGAGAGAATACGCAGAGCCTCCAGACAAGTAACTCTACATGATGTTTTTATTTCTTTGTCCAGTAGATGTAATATTTCTTCACAGAGTTGCTGAGAATTTTAAGGAGCAGGAAGGGAGAAAAGGAAATGTCACTTTGGCATTGAAGAATGGAACCCAATGATAATGATAGGATGCTCTTCAAAATAATAGCTTAGTATACTTTTACCTGGCTTATTATTAAGAAACAATAAGCAAAGAAATAGCCTATTACTTATTGACTGAATCAGCATATTGGTTCAAGTAACAAAAATCTTCTCACCTTTACTATCAACATACAGTATTAGTTCAGTTTTGTCACACAAAGGTTTGAAATGTCCTAAGCATGAGCCTATGAATATATACGTAATTATAGTATCTTCTTAGGAATCCAGTAACAATTCAGGCATCCTTTAACTCAAAACTTTAAGGCTTTTATGTGGATATCTATGCCTGCATCAAATATAAATATTCTTTGTCCACTGAGCAGGCTCAGCTTTTATTAGACTATCCCCCCATCCTAATCTATTTCAGGCTATAGTAATTTTATGCTTAGTTTCAGCCACTTAAATAAATTCTTGTCTTTTTTCATTGGTAGCTATTATTTTTGACTCTTTAAATATAACATCTTACTCTCTATCAGAAAAATATGCATACAGACAACCTGGTCTTCTCTAATGTTTACATCCATGTACTCTACTAGAGACAAGGATACTAGAGACAAAGTTGAAGTACTTTGGCCACATCATGAGGAGCCAGCAAAGCCTAGAGAAGACAATTATGCTGGGGAAAGTGGAAGGTAAAAGGAAGAGGGGCCGACCAAGGGCAAGATGGATGGATGGCATCCTTGAAGTGACTGGACTGACCTTGAAGGAGCTGGGGGTGGTGACGGCCGACAGGGAGCTCTGGCGTGGGCTGGTCCGTGAGGTCACGAAGAGTCGGAGACGACTGAACGAATGAACAACAACTCTACTCTTGAGTAGGAGAACTGTAACTCTTTCCTGGAACCCTGATCTCTCCATTCTCCCCAGGCGTCTCTTTTTCTGACCCCCCCCCCCCCAAAGAATAAACTGCTTCTCCTGAAATTATTCAGGAGAGGCTATTCGCCTTTACACTGTTAAGTAACCCACCCCATTCCGAACTCGTACAGGCTCCAAGGTTGCTTTTTGCCCAGTTATGTGACAATGGCACAATCTGTATGAGTGCTTAAAAGCCTGTACAGGCAGTAGGAGAAATAATGATCCTGTCAGAGAGATGACCCAAAAGCAGGTTTACTTGAATATATTGTCAAATATTTCATGTAGACATTCTATAATTGCAAAGGCTTGATTAGTGCAGCTATTCTGTTTGAAAACAAAACTGCAAGTTGCCCAGCTAGAAGAGAGTGCCATGTACCACACTGTATAGAACTCACTGGCACTTTGGTCTCATTGGAGATTATCTGCCAAAGGACATGATGTTCCTTGTCTTCCAAACACATGATAATTGGCATTATGTCACACTGCCTTCTCTGGGTCTGGCTTTAAGATTTTATAGTTCATTATGTTTTTCTGACCTAGGGCCTTCTTTATTTTAAGTATTCTGTAGATTTTAATTAAGTCCTCCATAGGGGGCTCATGAGATAGACATGCTTTTAATTTATTGAATTCAATCTAGTCTTGGAGCCTTTCAGTGGGCCAAACGATTTTCATCAAGTCAATGAGAACTCCAGGAATAAAGCAGACCATAAATAAGCTGCTTTCTCCCTCTTCAGTTTCTCTACAATTCACACAAACCCCTATAAGGGCCGACAACATCTCTATTGTTGCCTGTGTATGGTACAAAAAGTTGAGACTATAATGAGAAAGCAGTTAAAATCTTAGCTACAAGCAACCCCTGAGATCACCAAACAATATTTAAGTTGAGCATAACCTGGGGGCAGCAAAACAATTTCCTATCCCACTGAACATGCAGATTAGCAAATTTTAAGTGAGACTATTGTGACCTGAGAGCTGCAGCCTGTCCATCATCCACACGGAAAAAGGGGCTCTCTACTCTCTGAAAGCTTGTACCACAATACATGCGTTACTCTTTAAAGTGCAATACAATTATTTAAATTATTTATTAATTTTGCCCTAATGTAAATAAAGATACATACATTGAGCTAGATATACTGAGAAGTTTGTATAGATACCAAGGCAAACATGTTAAATATAATTTTGTTGCTTTTAATTGTTCCACTTTCATTTAAGCTACCTGCTGATTTGAATACCACCACAGGTAAAATGCAGTCATTGACATGTTGAGCTGCAACTCCTAGTATCACACAACATTAGCTATAGTGGCTGGGGTTGATGGGAACCACCACATTATACCTAGGGGGACCACACTTGGCCAATGTCTACAAAAATAGAATCTACTTTTAAACTTTTTTTTTGCAGTTTGTACTCACATGCTGGCAGGAGCATACAAGGCATACATGGAGAGAATAAAACATGACAAGAGTCACATGAGATTGGTGAGCAGATCCAGTAAGGAGCAGGGTTCTATAAGGTAAAGCTCTCCACAACTAGAAAACTCTACTACCTTTGGGAGTAGTGTTAAGCTAATCACACTTTTTAAAAAAATCTAAACTTGTTCTTTTTCATTAGCATGCCATGATGTTTTGTATTGACACACTAGGAAAATAACAAGGAAGAAAGCGTAAGATTATTGGTGAGCAGTTGGGAGTCAGTTTTAATAATAACAACATAAATGAATGGTATGAAATAATTTTCTGACTAGGAACAGCCAGTAATAAAGGATTTTACAGGAACAGAAACTCAGCTTCCTTTATTAAGCTGCAGATGAATTTGCTTAGCGAGTGAGCTGTACCTTGCAGCTATATAATTACAGGTTACCTACGTTTTCAAGAAGCCAGAGTATCATCTGTCTATATTCAGTTCATATTTCCAAGGTTTATTCTCCAGTTTATGTTTATTTTTCCATAAGAGTTATACAAAACTAGCTTGTTCATATAAAAAGGCCAAAGACTCTATAGGCATCCTAGAGACTTATCAGTAGTCTGTGCTTCGTCGGATGCATTGTTAGCTATGCAATATGACCTAACATTTCAGGCATATAAATACTAAACAGTTAGAGGTGGGAATATAGACAATGAGGTGTTCAAATTGCACAGAGTGTGTGACCACATTTCTTACGAGAATGTGATATTGCATGACAGCTGATGACTTAGTTTACTTACGGAAAGAAAGACTAATTATTAAAAACACCAACATTATATAATCAATTAAACATTAATTATGTGCTAATCAAGCTGTAATAATTTTTCCTCACCCAACATTTTTGTGCAATAGTTTTGTGCACTATTCAAAGACCTGCCTGTAACTTCTATCCACTTGGGTTTGCTATGACATTCCTACACAAAAGAACTCCACTTTTTATTTTCAGTGCCTTGCTTTTATCAGTCCATCCTTGGACGTAATATCTTGAAGCCATTAGGCAACCCATGTTGCGGTACAAATTATTGGCAGTCATGGGATGGACACAAACTATTACAAAAGTGGAACTGTTCCATGATGTCTCACATTAATCCTCTAGTAAACTGCTCTTCTATCTGATGAAAGGCAAAAGATGAAATTTTCCAAGACTGGATAACAGAGAGAAATTCGTATTATCACTAATTCAATGAAGTAAAAAATAGAAGCTAACAGGACCACTATCAATAATCTAATACAGTGTTTCCCAACCTTTGATCCTGCAGGTGTTTTGGATTTCAACTTCAAGAAATTCCAGCTAGCTTACCAGTTGTTAGGAATTGTGGGAGCTGAAGTCCAAAACACCTGGAGGACTAAAGGTTGGGAACCACAGATCTAATACCTGCTTGCAGAGGAGGTGATTTGTAATAAGGAAAAGTACAAGAGAACAATCACTATTAACAACTCAGATTTGACTAGATGTTTCAATATATATTTCCATACAATTAATTCAAATTAACTGCACAAGTATGAATTGAAACATTCTAGCACACATTTTAATTCATATCCCTGTACAACAGTGGTTCTCAACCTGTGCATCCCCAGGTGTTTTGGCCTACAACTCCCAGAAATCCCAGCCAGTTTACCAGCTGTTAGGATTTCTGGGAGTTGAAGGCCAAAACATCTGGGGACCCACAGGTTGAGAACCATTGCTGTATGAGGAAGCCCCAATCCTCTGAGATACTCAGGAGAGGTCCTTCTTCCAGTCACACCATAAATATGGTTGGTGGGGACATTAGAGTAGGCCTTCTTGGTGGATGCCTCTGGGCTCTGAAATTCTCTTCCCAGTGAGGTTACAATGACTTCCTCCATATTATGCTTCCAGCATCAGGCTAAAACATTTTTTGTCAGGAGGGATTTTAAAACAGGTTTTTAAGAAAAGGACAAGGGGTGTTGCATGGGCTTAGGAATAGTTTTTAACACTATTTTAACTAGTTTTAATTATTGTAATACTTAATTCTGTTTTAATATTTATATTTGTAGGCTTCAAATTGTATAGTTTTCAGGGTTGTGAGCCAGTTTGTATCTCAGTCCTGGGAGAAAAGAAGCATTCAAATAATAATAGTAACAATAACAATAATAAATCTAATTTGCTGTGACATACTGTGTTTTTATGAGAGTAAAATAATAATATAATCTTGTTGTGTTTCAAATAACAATAATAATTTCATATGTGATCAGAATAGCACACAATAGCCCAAATGTGGTCATGCCACTTATTTCTACTCTTTGGTTCTTGGTCTTTAATCAGCTGACTCTGCTTAAGACAAGTCACAAGCCAATAAATTGGAGCCTGGCATTGCTACTACAACATCAAAACTGAATAAACAGAGTCCCTATGCAAAGAAAAAAAAACATGTGATGCAGCATACTACACAGTCAGTATCAATGATTGAACATGCTTACCTTCCTTTTCTCTTCATCAGAGGGTTCAAATTTGAAAATGGCTTTATTCTGAAAAACAGTTTAAAATGTGAAAATTTTTCACATTCAAGGATACACGTTTCATTTTCTCAGAATAGTTTTAATCTTACAGCACTGATGAACTCAAGTCACTTACAATAAAATCCTCTTGAATTTATGTTTTAGACAGTTTAGGTGTGTGATTGAAAGAGAAACCAAAACAAACTTCTTTTGCATTTCTCTCACATAATTCTGCTTATAATAGGGTACAAAACCTTCAAATTCAATGAATGATCATGCTGATGGCAAGCAAAAGAAAATGGGATTCCTTAGATGGCTAGCAGATAGAAGCTGTGTGTGTCACTATTGATGGAAAGTAACACTAACAAATGGGAAGTACTTCTGCCCTGGATGTTCCAATACACCTACAGAAAACTAGCGTTCAAATGTCACCTGTGGTAGGTCTCAAGACAGAGCATTTGAGGACTGCCTTGGATGTGTTGTATCTAAAGCATCCTCKCRCCCCCCCCCCCCCCCCAATGAAACTGAACATCGTGTAATTAATTTCCTTCCTACTGAAATCAGTGAGATTACGGTTTTAAAGGATAATCACTGCTGTGGTACTAAGAGTCCTGTACCTTAGAGGATTTGAGCAATGATAGACAACCCATCACCTGACTTCTCACGCCATTGTTAGTTATCCTTCACCAATGCCAATTCTTTAATATCCTAGCAATGACTCACTCAGATGTTAATACAATATAATCTTAAACATTTTTATTCAGAAAAAAATCTTGAGCATATTCAGAATTAATTCCTCACAGGAGTGCTCAGGATTATACTAACAAGAGAACTAACCTATTTTCTGTTTATCGCATACTAGTTAAGTTTAGGAGTTTAAGGACTTACTACAACAGCTGTTGAAAAGAATTACAGCAGTTGACTGAGAATAGGTCAATAGTTGGCTGCTGGCCATAGTAACTAAGTGGAAAACTTGAGGTAAGTGAATATGTCTACTAAAATATTCAGCAGTGAAAGTGTAACTGCGTCAGTAGTCTTGAAACATAATGCACAAGGAGTCTGACAATTTAATCTGGGTGCAAATGGATGAGACTCACATGCCCTGTGCAAGCAATAGCCTGAATTCTGACCCCAACTACACAATGCTTTCAAGACACCCACCAAGAAATAAATATTTCAACTAGAATCCAAATTGTTTGCTTCAATCAAATATTTTAATTATCTTCACAATATACTAGACAGCAATGTAGATCAGTGGAGCACAGTTGCTATCGCTCGCACTCCAGTAACTAAGCAACCACTCTGTGAGCCAGATGAAGCTTCAAACCTAACCTTGCTTAGAGCATTTGATCTCAGGAGCACAGATACTTAATGGCACAATCCTCAGCTCAGAGAAACAAATAGTTGTCTACTCCAGCTAAATGGGTCATTTTGCTTTCAGTTCTTCACAGTGCATCTAGAGGGGTGTTAGCTCTGACATGTTGGGGAGGATGGAGATGTCAGATATTCATTAATAGTATAAACTATGGGTGCATTTAACGTAGAATTATTGCATTTTGACAGCACTTTAACTGCTATGGCTCAATGCTATGGAGTAATGGGAGTTGCAGTTCACCAAGGTCTTTAGCCTTCCCTGCAAAAGAGCGTTGGTGCCTCACTGAACTACAAATCTTATTATTCCAGCACTGAGTCATGGCATTTAATATAGTGCAAATGCACCCAAAAGATGACAATACAGCAGCTTCAGAACTTTTATTAGGCCAAACCATAATGCAGCATGAGCACGCTTCCGAATTTTGCAGAAAATGCCTTGTCAGGATGATGGGTGAATTTTTGCTTCTCATCCACCCCCCACCCCCATTTGAAAATACAAATGAAGATACAGCTCTGTAGAATTTTGACTGGTGTTAACCAACTGAAGATTCTGTAATTAGTTTAACTATTTTTTCTAAAAGAAAAAAAGGATTTCTGCTTCTATTTGCATTTTATACAATATAATACAGGCCCTTTAGTCTAAGGGTGTTTCTGCACTGCAGAATTAATGCAATTTGACTTCACTTTACCTTCTATGATTCAATGCTAGGTAATCCTGGGTGCTGTAATTTGATAAGGCACTAGCACTCTTTGGCGGAGAAGGCCAAAGGCCCTGCAAAACTGTAAGTCCCAGGATTCCACAGGACTGAACTAAAGTAGTGGTTCCTTTGGTCCCCCAGGTGTTTTGGACTTCAGCTCCAACAATTCCTAACAGCTGGTGAACCGGCTGGGATTTCTGGGAATTCAAGTCCAAAACAAATGGCAATCCAAAGGTTGGGAACCATTGAACTAAAGTGGTCAAATTGTATTAATTCTCCAGTGTAGCTGCACCCCTAGTCAACATACTCCAAATCACAGAATAGCACGTTACAGTTCCACAGAGCTAGGTGTGTTTTTTCTAACCCTTCTCATTACTGACAGCTAGATTTTATATGCTATATATACGAGAGAGAGAGGACTACAGTATTACACTGGAAAAGGAAAATGACTTATTAATATAGGTGCACCTTATTACAAGATCAAAATGCATTCTGGATGAAAACCAAGGAGAATGTAAAAGCTACCTCTTTAAATATAAATGAGAAAACTGCAGGCAGTTAGTGATAATGACAGTGGCATGACAGGACAGATTGATTAGAAAGGAAGGAGAAATGCAGTAAACATTGCAAAAATCACATATTTCTTTATATAATTGGGGGGGGGGGGGTCAGAAATCCAAGAATGAAAATATACTTGGTGAGTACAGTAGGGGCAGGCTGATTATTTACAAATATTTGGTAAAGGAAAACATTTGAATACAGGCACAAAGGAAGGGACACTGAAGGTGTTATCCCATGCAAACTTGGAAGAAAGTGCTACTATGTAAAGGTAAATTCTGTCTGCATCTTCCATATGGTCAAACAGGAGATGCTGCCGGGAGAAATGTATTATTATATCATCATCATCATCATCATCATCATCATCTATATGCACATTTTCTCATGATTTCCTTCCAAATATGACAGATTGAAGAGGTTTTGCAATAAGAATAGTACTAGAGTAGAATACTTAAATCAAGTAAATGTATAGGAATGCTGGGTTACCATTCAGCAGCTGGTTTAATTAATCTACCACCAACTTGACTCCTAATATATGTTAATCAGATATATGCCCAGTTTTATTTGCAAGGAATGGCACTCAAGGAAGTTAACAACAATGAAATGGTATTCAAATAGATAGAAATATTATTTTGTTGTTACATAAATGGCTGTAAAAAGAATCCAGGATCACCTATTAAACTGGGGCAGAGATCTATGGCCCCTCCAATTGGACTAAGTGAACTGATGTCTATGAATGCTTATGCAAAATAAACCAGTTCGTCTCAAAAGTGTTACAGGATTCCTTTTTGTCAGTAATCATGCTAATATCCATGAAACTGTTTAAAACAGTTTCAGAAATGGCTGGTCAACTGCAGAAATGTTGCAATTTGAAGCTGTTCCCTCTTTATTTCGAAAACAGAAGGAGCCCATCTGGAGTCCCAATCCTAATATATTTCTCCCACTCTTTTTTAAAAAAATGTTTTTATTAAAGTCGGGATACAGAAAAAACTGCAACAGGATTTTGATAATTACCCAAAAACAAAGTGAAGTTTAATGAGCCATATTAATTGTAAATATTTACTCCTAACATTACAGTCACTGCACTGTAATGGTTTGATTGCTAGACAAGGGGTGCATCTACATTGTAGGACAAATGCAGTCTGGCACCATTTCAGCTGCCTGGGCTCAAAGCTATGGAGTTCTAAGATTTGTAGCTCAACAGCTTTATGAACAAGCGTTTGGTTAAGCAGTGCAACCAATCATAGGAAGACGGTAAATGGAACATAGGAATGGCACAAGGATTATGAGAACGGATCTGATTTCAACTGAGGCGTTATGTTATGTCTGTTTTGTTGATCTGTCTTGTTGATTGTTAACTATTGTGGATTGATGCTGTTGATCCTGTTTGTTGCATTGTTATGTTTTAATTGCACTGACACTGTTTGATAATTGTACCATGTAAACCGCATTGAGTCGCCTGTTAAGGGCTGAAAAATGCGGTATAGAAATAAAGCAAATAAATAAATAAATAAACAGCACTCTTTGGCAGAGAACGCTACAGACCTTATAAGACTACAACTCCCAGGATTCCAGAGGATTGAGCCACGGCAGTTAAAGTGGGGTCAAACTGCATTAATTCCTGGGTATAGAATGCACCACCCAGTCATAGAAGCCCATTGAGTGACCCTGATTGAGCCAGTCTCAGAAGAAGGCAAAAACCTCATCTGAACCAACTGGACAAGAAAATCCTGGGACAGGTTCTAAGGTTGGAAACAACTGGAAGGCACAAACAACAAAATATAAAAGAATATGTTGCATGCCCCTGTTTTTTTTTTCAAATGAGTTTCATTGATAAGACACTGTCACAAAACACAAAGTGTTTCACCTTTATTATCAGCATACTATATTAGTGCTATGACTTGAAAGCACACAACAAAATGTAATTCTATAAAATATATCCATTTATATATGTTATATTATTTACTGTAGTTGTTTTTTTGCTGTAAGCCACCCCAAATCCCTTTGGGAAGAGGAGGTAGGATAGCAATAAAGCTTATTATTATCATTATTATTATTATTGACACAAAAATACAGTATGACACAGCAAATGAGATATATATGCTGGATTTCATATCACAAAATCACAAGTCGAACACTTTCCAAGCGTTTAGGACTGTGTGATGCATTTTCAAATGATGTGCACAGATCCAAGTAAGGTGGCCTTTTGCAGTTGACAGATTGTGATTTTGTCAATGTTTATTGTTTCCAAATGCTGGCTGAGATCTTTTGTCACAGCACCCAATGTGCTGATTACACTGGGACCACCTGCACTGGATTAGGTCAGAGCCTTTGCAGTTTGATTTTGAGGTCCTGGTAATGGCTGAGTTTTTCCTGTTGTTTTTCATCAATGAGACTGTCACCTGGCATGGCGACATCAATAATCCATTTTTTTTTCTTTTCCACAATTGTGATGTCTGGTGTATTGTGTTCCAAATGTCAGTCTGGATTCGAAAGTCCCACAGTATTTTTGCATGTCCATATTCCACTACCTTTGAAGTTTTATGATTCCACCAGTTCTTTACTACAGGCAGGTGGTCCTTATGATATACGTTCCAATGAATCATTTGGGCCACAGAGTTGTGCCTCTGTTTGAAGTCAGTCTGTGCGATTTTCTTGCAGCTGCTGAGGATATAATCAATTGTTTCATCAGCTTCCTTGCACAGTCTGCATTTTGGGTCATCAGCTGATTATTATTATACTGAAATAGGCTCTATTATTACTTTACTGACACAATAACACAGTATGTCACAGCAAACAAGTTATATATGCTGGATTTCATATCACAAAATCACAAGTCAAACATTTCCCAAGTGTCTAGGACTGTGTGATGTATTTTCGAATGATGCGTGCAGATCCAAGTAAGGCGGCCTTTTGCAGTTGACAGATCATGATCGTGATTTGCAGTTCAATTTTAAGGTCCTGATAACGGCTGAGTTTTTCCTGTTGTTTTTCCTCAATGTGACTGTCACCTGGTATGGCTACATCAATAATCCAAACTTTTTCTTTTTTTCCCCACAATTGTGATGTCTGGTGTACTGTGTTCCAAAACTTTGTCGGTCTGGATTTGAAAGGCTCTATCATTATTATTATTATTATTATTATTATTTTACTGACACAAAAGCACAGTATGTCACAGCAAACAAGATTTATATGCTGGATTTCTTATCACAAAATCACAAGTCAAACACTTCCCAAGTGTCTAGGACTGTATTATTATTATTATTATTATTATTATTATTATTATTATTATTGTTATTAATTATCAAATAGGCTCCATTGACAAACAAGCAGATGACAGTTAATGGCACCATGAGAAAAGTATTCTTCCTACCAGTTACACATATTCTTTCCTCTAATCAGCCCTGGAATGGACAGCCACAGACCTAATATTATTGTTGCCTGCCATAGCATTGCACTTAATTCCTGGGTCCCCTAGAATTTTTGGGTTTGCACAAATCTTGACCCGGCCTTTTAAAAATTTTAATTGCCTTGAACAGGCAGGATTACTTTTAATATATGTGTGTTATGGCAACAATTTTTATGTATTGTCGAAGGCTTTCATGGCTGGAATCACTAAGTTCTTGTGGGTTTTTTCGGGCTATATGGCCATGTTCTAGAGGCATTTCTCCTGACGTTTCGCCTGCATCTATGGCAAGCATCCTCAGAGGTAGTGAGATATTTTTATGTTTAGATTTTGTTAGTTAATCTTATGGTTATGTTGCTTTTACTCTGTATGTTTTGTGATATTACTTGGGAACCGCTCTGAGACCCCTTGGAGAGATGGAGCAGTATATATAAATAAAGTTTTGTTATTTTATTATTATTATTAAAAGTAGTCACAACTCAAGTGATGTCAAGAGAAAAATACTTGTTCAGTAGACTCTCGGTTAACCAGCACTCATGGGGATTGGTAGAGAATGGATAAATATTGAGAATTACTATTAAAAATAATTGCTCAAAAGCTATGACTAAAAATATTATTATTTATTATTTATTTGCTTTATCAGCCTAATTAGGCGACTCAATGCGGTTTACACAATGCAGGTTATCACAAAAATAAACAGTTAAAAACACATCATACACAACAACAAAATCAACAATTATTATCAATTCATGACGCCTCGATAACAGAGCAAAATCCATTCTCATAATCCTTGTGCCATTCCTATGTTCAATTTTACCGTCTTCCTGTGTTCAGTTGCACTGTTTAGCCGAACGCTTGCTCATAGAGCCAAGTCTTAACCTTCTTCCGAAACGCCAGCAGTGAAGGAGCCTGTCTGATGTCTATAGGTAGGGCATTCCATAGCCGAGGGGCCACCACCAAGAAGGCCCTGTCCCTCGTCCCCGCCAACCGTGCCTGTGACGCAGGCGGGACTGAGAGCAGGGCCTCCCCGGATGATCTTAATGTCCGCGTCGGTTCATAGGTGGAGATGCGTTCGGAGAGGGAAGTGGGGCGGGAACCGTTTAGGGCTTTGTAGGCTAATGCCAGCACCTTGAATTGTGCCCGGTAGCAGATTGGCAGCCAGTGGAGTGGCTCAACAGAGGAGTGGTATGCTCCCTGAGTGCCGCTCCGGTTAACAACCTGGCTGCCGAGCGCTGGACCATCTGAAGCTTCCGGGCAGTCTTCAAGGGCAACCCCACGTAGAGCGCGTTGCAGTAATCTATGCGGGATGTAACCAGAGCATGGACTACCGTGGCCAAGTCAGACTTCCCAAGGTACGGGCGCAGCTGGCGCACAAAATAGGCCTATTAATACTATTCCAAACTGTGTTGCAACACGTTACTCTCTCATAAGGGGTTGGTTTAACCCAGGCATGGGCCAACTTGGGCCCTGCAGGTGTTTTGGACTTCAACTCCCATACTTCCTAACAGCCTCAGGCCCTTTCCTTTTGCCCCTCCGCCGCTTAAGCCGCTGAGGGGCAAAAGGAAGGGGCCTGAGGCTGTTAGAAAGTGTGGGAGTTGAAGTCCAAAACACCTGGAGGGCCCAAGTAGGCCCATACCTGGGATACACAATACTGCTCCATTGATGGGCGTTATATATACTGAAGTAGGGCGTTGCCTGCGTAGAAAGGAAGGAAGGGAAAGGCCTACCTGCTCGTTGAAGCTGCTGAGGACCCCCTCGGCCTCGCCAGGCCCTTTGACGGCCGCCAGCGCCGCCTCCAAAGCCATGGCGCGGCTTCGCCTCCCAACGACCGACTGCCTTGACGGACTGACCCTTCTACCTTTCACCTCCAGTGACGTCACGGCGGGAGGAAAAAACCTCCGCTGCGATTGGCTGGCGGGAAGCCGAGTGGGCGGAGCCACCCCCGCCGCTCCTCTTCGAGGCGTTCGGATTCTGTGAGGCGTGGCGGCGAAGACTACATTTCCCAGCAAGCCTTGCGCCCTTCCTGACGCCGCGGTGCATTGTGGCCCTCCTATCGCCTGTTTTCTAAACAAAGGGATATGGAGAGGTGTGGTTGTTGTTGTTGTTGGCCCTCTTGTTTCTGTCCATTCAGGGCAGGAATGGCCAACTGTGATGATTATCTAGGGCCTACACACTTTACAGTCAAGCCAAGCAGGGTGAGCTTTGTTCAGTCATTGAGTGGGAGACCAGTCAGCAATAACAGTTGCTATATAGGAGGCATGAGCAAGCTCCAATATGCTGATGACAACGTCGTCTATGCACATTCAGAAGAAAACGTACAAGGCACTCTAAACACCTGCATAGAATCATAGAGTTGGAAGAGACCTCATGGGCCATCCAGTCCAACCCCCTGCCAAGAAGCAGGAATATTGCATTCAAAGCATCCCAGACAGATAGAGAGGCGGATGAGCTCCCTCTATCAGCTCCAGCTCCTCACACGGGGACATGAGAGAAGCCTCCCACAAGGATGATAAAAAGATCAAATCATCCGGGTGTCCCCTGGGCAACGTCCTTGCAGACGGCCAATTCGCTTACAACAGGAGAGACTTGCAGTTTCTCAGGTCGCTCCTGACACGACCAAAAAAAACAAACAAACCTCAGACAGATGGCCATCCAGCCTCTGTTTAAAAGCTTCCAAAGAAGGAGCTTCCACCACACTCCAGGGCAGAGAGTTCCACTGCTGAACGGCTCTCACAGTCAGGAAGTTCTTTCTCATGTTCAGGAATCTCCTTTCTTGTACTTTGAAGCCATTGTTCTGTGTCCTAGTCTCCAGGGAAGCAGAGAACAAACTTGCTCCCTCCTCCCTGTGATTTCCTCTCACATATTTATACATGGCTATCATATCTCCTCTTAGCCTTCTCTTCTTCAGGCTAAACATGCCCAGCTCCTTAAGGCGCTCCTTCGCAGAAGCATATGAGAAGCTTGGCCTGTCATTGAATATCAAAAAACCAAAGTCCTCTTCCAGCAGTCACCAGCCAATCCCTCTCCAATGCCAGAAATATAGCTTAATGGTGTAACATTAGAAAATGTTGATCATTTCTGCTACCTTGGCAGCCACCTCTCCACAAAAGATAATGTTGACACTGAAATACAACATCTCCTGAGCTCTGCGAGTGCAGTTTTTTTCCAAATGAACCAGAGAGTGTTTGAGAACCGGGACATCCGTAGGGATACCAAGGTGCTTGTTTATAAAGCTATTGCCCTCCCGCCTGCGAGACGTGGACTGTCTACAGACGTCACATGCAGCTCCTGGAACGATTCCATCAGCGTTGCTTCTGGAAAATCCTGCAAATATCTTGGGTAGACAAGTGGACAAATGTCAGCGTGCTGGAAGAAGCAAAGACCACCACCATTGAAGCCATGGTCCTCTGCCATCAACTCCGCTGGACTGGCCACGTTGTCCGGATGCCTGACCACCATCTCCCAAAGCAGTTGCTCTACTCCGAACTCAAGAACGGAAAACGGAATGTTGGTGGGCAGGAAAAGAGATTTAAAGATGGGCTCAAAGCCAACCTTAAAAACTCTGGCATAGACACTGAGAACTGGGAAGCCATGGCCCTTGAGCACTCCAGCTGGAGGTCAGCTGTGACCAGCAGTGCTGAATGGAGAGCAAAAGAGAGAAACGTACCAAGAGGAAGGCAAATCAAGCCAACCCCGACCAGGACCACCTTCACCTGAAAACCAATGTCCTCACTGCAGGAGAAGATGCAGATCAAGAATAGGGCTCCACAGTCACCTATGGACCCACCGCCAGTACACTGGTCTTGGAAGACAATCCTACTCGGACAGCGAGAGATTGCCTAAGTAAGCAGGCATGGGCAAACTTGGGCCCTCCAGGTTTTTTGGACTTCAACTCTCACAGTTCAGGAATTGTGGGAGTCTGTAGTCTGAAGTTTCTGTGACTCGCAGCTTTAAAGAAAGCCCAACTCTAACACTAGTTCACAAGGAAGCACTTGCTCATTGAAGAGTAGACTTCCATTGCTACTGAAGGATGCATGCTTCACTTGAAAAGCTTTTTATAAATTTCTTTCTGATGTTTTTGCTTGACTGAACGCACCTGGAGGTCACAATGCTGTCAATTACCAGAGAAGTAAGTACTAAACCAGGTTTCGAAAAAGACTAAGTGCTTCACTTACAAACCTAGCTTTGAAACCTAAACCAAGCTTAAGGGAAGAGTGGGCTTACTTTCCTTCCTTTTGAAAAGTTATAAATGCTATAAAAGAGTGTAACTTCCTCAAAAGGATGGGTTGTGTGGGGTGCAGCCTGATTCTAAGTATGTTTTCTTCAGAACAGAGTACTGAGAACTCTCATGGTTTCCGAAATTATCTCATCAACAGAAGAGAATCCTCCAATGAGCATGGCCATTGATGTCTGGTGAGTATGAGCAGTTATAGACCAAAAAGTAACCTTTTAAATGTTTTTAGTTAGTCCAGTCTTTCTTTATGTTGCTAATGCATTTCTGAGTTGTCTTCGGCACTGGTCCTCAGTGGCTGCTTGATTTGGTCTAAGACTCATTGATTTGCCTTTCTAGCAATCTATGAGATTTTTACAGTTCTCCTCCAGCATCACATTCAAAGTTTATTTTCTATCAGCTTTTTTCACTGTCCAACTTTCTCAACAATACAAATAAATGTGAAATATGATAACATGGACAATCCTGACTTTAATATTTGATGAGAAATCTTGATCCTTCAGGATCTTGTCTAGTTTTTTCATAGCTGCCCTTCAAAGACTTGACTGCAGTCTCCATTCTGATTAATTGGAACAAAGATTGGAAAAATCTTGGAATTATTTCAAAGTCTTCATTGTACAATTTTAAAGCTATGTAAATCACCTGTGGTCATTATTTTTCTTTGCATAATTCTCAACTGTCAACCTTCATTTGCACTTTTATTCTTGACTTCTTCCAGGAACTGTCCCAAGTCTTTGCTATTTTCTGTTGGTAGTATGGTGTCCTCTGCATATCTTAAATTGTTGGTGGTCCTTCTTCCAGTTTTCATTAGCTTTTATACTATCTAGGAATTATGAGTGATTGCACTTTGTCCACTTGTTGCCTGCAGTAATTGAAGAACCTCAATAAACGAGCCAATTCAGGTTGAGACATCTCCATATGTTTATGTGCATATTAAAAACTGTCACATGTCTCTATGGATGGTATTTGGGATTTGCAGGGGTGAAAAGGCTTAGAAAAACTTGATCTTACGATATCTCCGTGAATTTGAAGAACACATCTCTATGCAGGTGCCTTCTTGTGGGTTCCCATCAGGGTGTGACATCTCGGGCCCTTCTACACAGCCCTATATCCCAGAATATCAAGGCAGAAAATCCCACATTATCTGAGAATGGACTCAGATAACCCAGTTCAAAGCAGATATTGTGGGATTTTCTGTCTTGACATTCTGGAATATAGGGTTGTGTGGAAGAGCCCCTAAAGTATGACTCCCAAAATCTTGTGGCAATCTGGAAAGCAAACTTTAAGAGTTCGGTGATGACACACAGCAAGCTGAAGGCAACTTCTCCACATATCTCCTTCTCCAGCTGCAAGCGTGGGCATCATGTGGCCCTCTAGATCTTGTTAAGACAGTAGTACTAACATGTCTCATGTTGTTTGTGCTGGTCTGGTCTGATGGGAACTATAATCTAACAACATCACTGTAGAGAAGTGTTTATTATAAAGGGTTTATTGTACTGTGTTTAAACTGTATTTATGTTTTACATGCGTGGCCATGGCCTAGCTGTGAGAGATAGGTTGCCATGGTGACAAGGCAGAGGAGAAGGTGGGCGGAGCTTAAGGAGAAAAAGGTTTGAAAGTAACGGTTAATGGGTAGTCAGGAGGATGAGACCCTGAGAAGAGGAGCGGAGTCAGTTAGGGCTCTGTGTGGTGAAGCAGTATAGATTCAGTTAGTTCTTAGCATTTGTGAATATTTCTTCAGCAAGGGAGCTGAAGGTGAAACCTTGTTAGATTGCTTGTGTTAAAAAGAATCTAACAAAGGGGGTTTTAGGGATCCCAGTAGTGAAAGACTGGAGATCGGTGGTTTGATCCGGTATAGGACAAACAGAGTGAATATTCACAACAGGGAACACTGAAATAATAAAGTACTTCACTGAAGAAGGAGTTTAAAGGATTGCAACATCAGAAGCCTGAATGTATCTCTACCAAGCCATATTGTAACCATCAAGCTTGTGCCAAGTTCAACATCTCAGTATTGCAACAATTACGCTCTGTTAACAATAAACTTGTTCTCTCTGTGTTATAAATCTGCCTCCTCCATTGATTTTACATTTGGTGCAATCCACTCTACCAAAGTTGCCTCACAACGCAGATAGGGATAAATAGAGACTTCAATTCCAACGTCTCTATATATATATAATGGTGGCAGTGTAATCAAGCAATTTTGGGACTTCCTTATAATTTAGGTTGAAATTAGGTGGATTAACATACATATTTATTTAATTTTGGTAATCCCATTTAGGTGGGATTACGCTTCCTTACATTTTTGGTGGCAGACGACGGGATTCGTGTAACAACTGATCGAGTGCCTTAAGTTAATTTTGAAATAAGTTGTGAGGTAAAAGTTGCTGAAAGATGGCTACCAGGCGACAGAGAAAGCTGGCTGAGGAAAGAGAGGGAGACCAAGAGGAAAGTTCGAGCTCTGAGACAGAGACCGAGCCGATGCCTTTCTCAGAAATGGCTTATAAGTATAAACTAGAGATGAAACGATTGGAGATGGAGAAAGAGGCAAAACAGAGAGAGTTTGAAGAAAAACAGAGAGAGTTTGAAGAAAGACAGAGAGTGAGAGAATTGGAACAGGAGTTAGAATTGAAGAGAATGGAGT